ATTTGGACGGTGAAGTTGTGTGAGCTAGTGGAGAACCTAGTGGATCGCTTAAAAGTTCTGAGTGGTGGAACTAGTTGGGTTCTACCAAAAGAAAATTTTATCCAGTTGCTTGAGTAACTGTTACCTTGGTAGTGAATGACATGTTTGTTTTCCGTGGTACAGAGTAACTGTTACCTTGGTAGTGAATGACATGTTTGTTTTCCGTGGTCCAGAGTAACTGTTACCTTGGTAGTGAATGACATGTTTGTTTTCCGTGGTCCAGAGTAACTGTTACCTTGGTAGTGAATGACATGTTTGTTTTCCGTGGTCCAGAGTAACTGTTACCTTGGTAGTGAATGACATGTTTGTTTTCCGTGGTCCAGAGTAACTGTTACCTTGGTAGTGAATGACATGTTTGTTTTCCGTGGTACAGAGTAACTGTTACCTTGGTAGTGAATGCCATGTTTGTTTTCCGTGGTGCAGACCTGCCCGATGTAGTGATTGACTTCATCACGAACGTTCTGAAGCTGAGTGTGGGGGCATTTATCGGAGTCTGTGTGGCCGTGGGACTGGTGCTGATTCTCATCATCGTCCTGTGTATCTGCTGCTGCTGCAAACTCTGCGGGTGTTGTCAGACCACCAGGGCCGCTCCAGTGTAAAACTACTAGTAATAAAGCCCTAATAGGCCATGTTGATTTGATTATACGGATGACATCCTCTGGGAACCCCAAAATTGATGCGAGCGTGCGAATAAAAAAAAGTTTGGCAAAAAAAGTTGCTTTCATTATGTGGTTATGAAGGTTGAACAAATGACACAGAGTATGGTATGGCGAATAATCTACTCTTCAAATCAATTTCTTTTCATTTTTGTCTTTTGCGTTTGATTTTGGCATTCTAAGACATTGGTATCGTTTTCCAATTTTTTTTTTTTCAACTTACGGTATATATTTTCTCATTTTGCAACTGTTTTGTTGGATTTACAGTATGATTGAAAACTTTTTTCTTTGAAACGGCCAAAAATTCATGCGCTCGCGGATGTCATCCATATAATCTACTACCAATATACATGTATAGTTGCATGCCTGCATGAAAAGTTACCCCCGGATTGTTTCAGAGAATCATTGTGCCAGTAATAATGATGTTGGAATCGCTTTGTATTGCTTTCTATTGAAAGACTGTGTTTATTTTGAATGCATGTCGCTACATATTATAGTAGTACCCTCATATCTCTGATAAAAGCTATCTTTATTAATTTTTTGTAATACATATGACAGTGAAATGTAATGAAAATACAGTGGTATGGTCGGAGTTTTGTCAAATGCAAATTAAAACGCTGTAAAATTCTTGATGGCAAAATGTACACTTTGAATCTATTGTAAAACATGATCAGGGATGGTATTAGACAATAATCTTCAGATGCATGTATATATAATCAGCTTCATATATTGATAATACATGTATGATGATAGTAATTAGTCCTTCTCTGTGGTACGTGTCGTTGTCAAAGCCGGGTACTCATTTTACCTTTTCCCAGACCCCGTACCCGGCAGTCCCGACAGAAGAAGATATACCAAACAACACAACAGAAGAAGACTGTGTAAAAGAAACGCCCCTTTTTGTGCACAAGTACATTACTTATTAGTGATTCCTTGTTCCATGGGCTAAATATAAGTAATCTTATGCCAAAATACAGCAACTCGGGCTGTTATCTCATCAATGCAGGGTGTATTCCGGTAGATTTAAGCCTCCTATACATGTTTTCCGTTGTTTTCCGGTAAATAGGCAGACCGCATTTTAGCGGAGAGCAAAGATTATAGATTTGTAGACTAGTGCTACTGATAAAATCGTATAACTCTAACTACTGTAATTACCTCCATAAAAAATGGAGGTATTGTTTTTGGCGTGTCTGTATGTATGTATGTCTGTCTGTCTGTCTGTGTGTGTGTCTGTCTGTGTGTGTTTCCGCAACTTTGTGGTCAGCATAACTTCAGAACGCCTTTATGGATTATGATGATATTTGGTATGTTGGTAAGTCTTAGGAAGACAAACGTCAAGGTCAAATATGGGCCTCCTGGTGGATGACCTTGGTACTGCAGCAGAACTTCCGGTTTTTGTATCTTTTGTCCTGAACATGCTATGGTCTTGATGTTTTGGTGACAGATTGCTTTTCCTGTCAGGAATAAGTGGTGTGAGTTTAGTCCCCCTAGCAGCTTGTTCTGGAACTGCAGGGCACTTTCTGGCGAAATGTTTAAAAGCCAATAAGTCCAGATAGGAACAACATATTTTCATAATTTTTGGTGTGTAGGTAGCTGAGAGAAAGATGTACATGATTAAATGCAAATTATGCAAATGAGGACGTTATTTGCATAATTAATGAGGAAATTCTATAATTACAGTGTTTTACATTATACTACTTTCATACATGTAATGTATGTAACCTATGGCAGACAGAACATCAACAGATACTAATTATGCAAATGATGGCCTAATTTGCATAATTTATGCAAAAATTCTATGATTTCTTAATGGTGAATGATGGGAATATCATACTTGGGACATCTGTAACTTAATCAAAAGTTAACATACATCATGATGCATATATCATGTTAATGCAGAGGTAATTTGCATAATTAAAGAAGAAATTTACATTTACATATTAAGTCCATATTTCATGGAGGTATGATGTCTCGGAATTCTTGTTCACTGATGTTTCGACTAGCATTGATGTCATAACTTGCATTGTAAACTACATGAAACGTTGCTTACAATTTTCAGGGCATGTGAAAAGTTTTTACAGTGTAGTATTTTGCACTACGAAATAAGACTTTCTATTTTGATACTGTCGCAAACTTTTGAGGGTATTTTGAACGCCAAATATTGTTTGGCGAATGTTTGACACTATAGCTAAAAGAACGGAATAAAAACTTTCTAAAAAAAATAAAATAAAAACTTTCTCGGACATTGTCTTTGCAAAGGTAAGACCTTTATGAAAAGAACAATGATAAGTTTCTAAAATATATAACATAGTTCTCTCGCTTAGCTAGGCCACAGCAAGTAATTTTTATGGATGACATCAGCGTGCGCATTAATTTTCGGCTGATTTTGGAAAAAAAAAAGAAATTTTGTTGCCTTCTGACAGTGATCACCATGCCGAAAATGGGCAAAGATGTCTGTTGTCATGCCGGAATGTGGATGTCAGATAACTATGAAGAGAGGAGACAAGAAAAGGCTCTGACTTAATGTTTCGTTTCTTACATTTATGCAGTGATATGTGACTATAATGATTGAATTTTAAGTACATTGTTTTTTTCGGCCCGTCTTGTTTTTTTCGCCCGCTCGCATTAGATTTGGAGTCTGCGGAGGATGTCATCCATAAAATTTACTTGCTGTGGCCTTAATAAGTATTTGTGGTTTCCAACGTTTCCGACGAATTGTGAACATAAGTGGCAGTCCGAACTTTATGTGACTATAAACTACAATGTAATTAGTAGCTGTCTAACCGAACACATAATTTATTTGGTCATAATAGCTACTTTCAGTTATTGGGCAACCGCGACGCGAGCACCAATTATGCAAATTATGCAGACAAATATTACTTTGACAAATGGTGTCAGACAATTACATTCAGTAGTTAAAAAACAAACACCTGAAGGAATAGTTTTACACTAGCAATTGGTTCCATGGTGTAGCGGTTAGCACTCAGGACTCTGAATCCTGCGACCCGAGTTCAAATCTCGGTGGAACCTGTCTTTTTTTTTGCGTTCACTTAAAAAACATAGACCTTTTTTCTTAAAGGGGCACTATGTAACATTTTTGCACCAAAAATTGAAATATTTCAATTGAAAAATCTTTGTGCGATTGTATTAAAATTTACTTCAACTTTTCTTTTCAACGAAATTGTGCATTTAACTCACATCTCTGACATTTATGGTCGGCGCACATGAGGCACACTTAGTTTGTGGTGCCACCACAAAATACCAGAGTGTAAACAAACATGGCTGACAGCTGTGTTTCCATCCTTTAAACACACTCGTAAGGCGTAAAATTTTGGCGTCAGTTCCTGAATGGCACTAATTTGTGATGAAGTTGCACTGAGTCGATTCAACTTTGTGAAGAAATGACAAGAAAGTACCAGAAAATTGACTTTTTTGTATCCTCCTAATGCTACAAAATGCAGCTTTAATAAATACTCAAGATCTATTCAGTCAATTTTAATTTAGAGACAATATTTAGAATGAAATAGTTGAACCAAAAGTTTTTTGCACAGTTCTCTAGAAGTCCTTTTGTCCTCAGCCTAGGACATAGAGACAAAGTTAACTATTGTACAAAAATACAAGCTGCAAACCAATTAGAATACATCTAAATCCCTGATATTTATTGTTTTGACATTTTTACAAAAAAAGACACAGAGGAATAACATATTTGTAGTCATCCTTATTTGCATAATTGGGCCTTGCAAATCCATAAAATTTGTAATTTTAAATAAAAGAGACATGTAACGTTATTTGTAACAATTAGTGACGGAAAATGTGTAAATCTCTATCAATGAAAACATTTACATTCAGTTTGCTAATAATTATGAAATGCTGCACATATGTATTTACATTCATACATAGAAAATGTGGTAAATTCTCTCATCTAGTTTCATGGCACAGTGCACCATCTGATGTGTAACATACGAATGTTTGCAGCAAAGGCATTACTAGTAAGTATCTAAGGCCATATCAATTTAACTTGTTGATTCTCGGATTTTTTCAGAAAAAATATAAAGCGACAGGGCAAAAAAATAAAATAATAAAAACAGGCCTAGGCATCTTATGATAGCCCCAAATGCTACAATGGGAGCCAGGAAGTCAATATAACGTTAAATTTTAACAATGAATTTTGAAATTTCAATCAAACCATCACATTGATACATGGAAAAAGTGTAACAGTTAGGAAGAAAAGGAGTTTCTTTTATCATTGGGGCCAGAATATGAAAATTTTGTAGATAATTCAAAACCTGAATTCTTTTTTTTTTTTTTGTGAATCAGAAAAAAATGAAGAGGCGAATCCGAGAACCAACAAATTAAATTGGTGTGGCCTTAGCAGCAGTGTTTTCTTCTGTTGATGTCTAAATATAGGGTTCAAGAACACATTTTTTCCCACCTCAATTTTGAAACTCTTTCAGGCATCGATTCATGGCAACAAACAGCTACAACAAAGGCAAACGAACAACAGACTGGCTGCTCCAATCAAATCTAATCATCTCCACCATTGGTTGACCCATTTCTTCTTAGGGGCCGCCTTAATGCAATCTACATTGTCCACCCCTATACAAACATGGAGAGGTTAAAATACCAAGCTTTCATTGGCCATGAGTCATGATACAGGTTAAACTGATTATTATGTTGTGTGGTTTGTTCTCATTCTGAAGGAAACTAAGTAAGTACAAAAGGTAATCATATTGCTCCTTTGTGCTCTCTGGAAGACTCGGACAACTCAATTTTCTTGTGAGGGGCTGGTAGGAGTTTTCCAGTTCCTATAATATGATGATTCTTGTCTACAATGTACACCTCTTCATCTGAAAAAAAAAACAACAACACAGAAAAAACATGGTTATACATAAGAGAGGAATACTAGAACTTGAACTCTGAATGTAAATGATTTTGAAATGCCATGATAAAGATTAAAGACAATTGGTATAGACCAATAGTAAGGCTTGATAAACAAGGTAATGCTTAATGATAGAAAAAGGCAAGAAAACTTGAGTTTTACTTGCAAAAAGTAAGTACCCATGAAAATGTTCGTAAGCTAAAATATACATGTGTAAATGATAATTAGGTCTCACTGACTTAATTCTATGGATGACATCTGCTGGCCTTTTGCAGGCATTTATGAGTCGGCACTTTGCAGAGTTCTTGAGTTCCTTGGAGCTTCAGCAGCCAGGGTGCCATTCTCCACAGTTACCACCGGCTCCCTACTGTCGCTAGGTTACCATTAGGTACCATGGAGTGTGGAGGAATGGCACCTAGGCCAGAGCCTTGGAGGAGGTGATTTTTTTTTTGGAGAACAGGCAAAAATCAATGCGTGCACAGATGTCATCCAAAAAATAAACCAGTGTGGCCCAACCATTCAAATGTATGTAAGCTAAAATATACATTGTGTAAATGATAATTATGTTTACCGAAGGAAAACATATTGTTTTTGCTCTGTTTCTTCCTCTTCTTCTTCTCCAAACAGTGACCTATGACCTGACCAATGACATGATTTGTTGACGTCTGTCACCATGGTGACTGGTGCATGGTGACTGGTGTTGGGTTACATAATGTTGCAATTTCAATGTCTGCTCTGCTCCTGTCACCATATACTAGTAGTACATGTAAGTGAATGTGTTAGAGTAAGAATTAACAGAGAAGACCATGTCCGAAGGTAAACATTATGCATTTGCTAAATGCAAATGTTACTTCTCTACATGTAGTTATCAGTGAATTTGTGGTTTCCCACTCACCTGTCTGTAAGACTGAAGAGAACTCTCTTGTTGTTTCACCTTGTCTTGCACCAGAATCATCAGATTGTTCAGGAGATCTGTCAACAGGTATCACATCGTCTTGTCTCATCTCTTCACTCTGTGTGCTGCTAGGTCTCCTCTCCTGTCTTGTCTCATGATCAGCATCTTGCTGTCTCTCTGTTAAGTATAACGGAGTGTGACCTGTATTTGAACTTGAGGACTGCTTACCTGAAACAATAGAAAAAAACTATCAATAATTTGTCTTCCCTTATTTGCATATCAATCAATAGTTCATGCTTATAAGTTGATGCTACCTGAAATGTCTGACCGTTTCCAAAATCATATCCAGTTGCTTCAGTGACTGTTTTTTGGAATAGAAAAAACTCATCATGAACATGTGATTTGTCTAAGTCACAGGTGACACTTCACAGCGATGGTTAATTTATTGAAGGTTAATTTTGTATATTTCTCAAGTTGACTGGTAAATAACTGTAACAGTAAATGTAGCCTGGGAGCCATCCATTTTGAATGCGGCTTAGCGATTGCAAGGAACATCATTGTAAAATGGCAACCTGTTCCATATGAAATTACATGATTGTAAAATGTGAAAGCATACCAAGTAGAATGCTTTGAAAAGTGATAATTTACTTTTTTTATAAGATTTTTGAACTAAAAGATACTTAATTACATACTATCAAGCTACCAGTGCCTGTGACATAAAAAGACTTCTCCTTCATTCTTCCTCTATGAGGTGCAGCTAGTGAAGTTTTGTCTTCAGTACAGTCTGTCAGTCATTGCGGACAAAAGTTCCGATCCTTGCAGACCAGTTTCAGACTCAATTAGTTTCTTAAGAGTTGTGCTTGGACGACCAATTCTCCTTTTTACATCTGGAGACCAAAGTAGGAGTTCAAACTTTAGAAAGACTTAAAAGACAAAAAGGACATACAATGTCATGTAATAAAAGTTAGAGCACATTACCTAGGCTTCCATGTCTGTCCAGAAAAGTCTTGAAGGACTCTACATGTTGAAGCTTGTTCCAGTACTCCATAGGAGCCGGCGTTCCTGTCACCTTACTGACCCCCTCTCTGTGTGTCAGCAGCAAGTACTGGCAGCCATCTTGTTTTAAACTATCAAGCTGTAGTTGATACACAACAGAGACAAAGCTGTTTGTTAATATCACACTATGTAGACAACAATGTTATTTTAACAGTTGTTTGATAACTTTAATAGTCTAGATTTACGATCATGGTGAATAAGAAAAACTTGAACACACATGCACACCTGGAATCAAGAGTCTTCTACATGTAACATCCATGTCCATAATATCACCAGGGTCCATAATATCACCACCTTGAGAAACAGTGTGCTTAAAGATATTTTCACTGCAACATACCCTAGGTACATTTATGTACATTTGAGGTGTGCATGCAGGAGTGCATACCAAAAGTATGTTGCGGTAAAAATAAAGCACACTATTTCTCAAGGTGGTGATATTATGGACACGGATGTTATATAGTAATATGTAGGCTCTGTGTGATTCACTGAAATAAAGGTACTTAATAATAAGCATTACTGGTGTTTAGAACAAACAATGCACAAATCAAAATAGTGCTTATTTACGTAACAACTTAAACGACAAGCCAGCACATTCTGTCCTTTGCTCCCTTAATTGTCGCTAGCTACCATGGAGTACAGAGGATGGCACACAGGCCAAGCCTTGGACAAGTTTTCTTTGAGAATAGGCAAAAATCAAATTGGATGTCATCTATAAAATCAATTTGGTGTGGCCTAACCACATAAAAATACCCACCGACTGCTGAATGTCCTGCAGTACAGTGTGTACATCCCTGTCCTGTACATGTGGTGTAACCGGGATCTCCAGGGCATTCCTGTGGTACTCCTGTCTCTGCTGGGCATCCAGAGTCTGCCAACCTTCGTCCACTTCCCTCAGCAGACTGACCGATACATCCTCCCTGCACAACCCTTTAGGGAAACAATAATACAGGTCGTTTCAAGTTAAAATTTTTGTTACAACACAACTTAGAGCTTTCGACCAGTCAGTCTGGTCTTCTTCAATTGACTGACCCAGTGAGACTTGTCACTTGGCTTCTTTGAAGTGTGACCACAACACTGGGTCAAAGGTATCTGGTAAACGATGTCGCCTTCATCATGGTAAATGGCCTCTTTTCACCCCTCTCAGGAAGTAGTCTTACAACAGCATGAAAGTTCATCTGAGTTGGTAAATTACATTATGAAAAATTTAAACAAGTGCTCACTAAAAAACAGGTTTCTAGAACATAGACGACCCAGTTCTGTTGCATCTGAGGTGTCGCAGAACATCCACATAGAATCACCGGGACACACAGTGGATCTGGAGGGGGTCAGAATCTTGGATACCAAACAGGATTACTTCAAGAGAGGCATAAAAGAGGCCATATACATCAGGGCACTTCAACCTTCCCTTAACCGGGACGGGGGGGCGATATCGACTTTTGACCCTTTGCTGACGTCACACGTGGGAAAAATCATTTGGGTCAGATAGCTGAGGAAGACTGAGTGATTCAATCGAAAATTCCGGTGAGTTAAATTTTGAGTTGGAGAACAGTTTAAATTTTTCATAAGGAAGTGGTCTTATTCAGTGTCCAGTATTCTTACAGTCACCTACTAGATATTCTGTTTCACTGGACACTGGACATAGAACAAAACTACTTACTGGGTCAGACTCTATTGAAGGAGACCAGAGTGACTTGTACTCCATAGGAGATGTCTGATTCACTGCACTGACTTTCAGGGATGACACAAGAAATGAATCAAAAGTGGCTGGAAGATGGAATCTACCACTGTCACAGTTCAGAGAGGGTTGAAATTTCATTTGTGTTGGAACAAAGCTCAAATTTTACAACTATGGATCCAACCAACACACTTTTTTACTTCTGTGTATGGTTATAGCTATTACCATTGAATACACAGGAAACTAGAGAAGTAACATTTGCAAAGCAAATGCATAATGTTTACCTTCGGACATGGTCTGCTCTGTTAATTCTTACTCTAACACATTCACATACATGTACTACTAGTATATGGTAACAGGAGCAGAGCAGACATTGAAATTGCAACATTATGTAACCAAACATCAGTCACCATGGTGACAGACGTCAACAAATCATGTCATTGGTCAGGTCATAGGTCACTGTTTGGAGAAGAAGAAGAGGAAGAAACAGAGCAAAAACAATATGTTTTCCTTCGGTAAACATAAATATAGCATCTGATTGAAAGGTCTCACCTTGTGCTTCTAGAAACTCCCTCATGTACAGGTCATACCCAGAGGAGGGTTGGTCCTGAGTGGTGTATGTTCTTCTGTCCCTGGATGTGTGTAGTGTTACCGGTAACTCTGGAGACCCCTCGTGTGAAGAGAAGGACTGGCGACTGTGATCATCGTGGTTCAGACTGACGTCATTTTGTGTCATATATGTGCCTCCATTAGTACCTGGAGAGAAGAAGATCATACACCATTATGTAGTTAGAGAAGGTTTCTTAATAGATGGAAAGTCTTCAAAAGTAAAATGATAGTTAAACATTACAAAAATAAAAGTCTATTGTATGTTGATGAAGATATGCCAAAAAGCAGTTCCTCAAGCAACTGGATATGATTTTGAAAACGTCAGACGTTTCAGCTAGTATCCACTAGCTTTCGTCAGTGACTGAGAGACCAGAGGGGAAATGCAGGATTGTCAGAGTAACTGCTTTTTGGCGTAATTCCATTGTAGTAGACTTGTGCAAATCAGAAGTAGAAGATGGGAAATACATGTAACATTACATAACTGTCATATATTATTACTTTTGTGGACATGAAGGTGTGAATTGGATGATATAGAATACAACAAGGTGTATTCCATATCACCCCTATCAAATTTGGCTTCCTTGAACAAAAAATTGTAACAACATCACTTCCAACATCGGAATCCAGTATTCAAATGTTTGAAGGCTACGCATTTGGTGTGTGCAAAACTGGTTCAAATTACTCCATGGAATATTTGAAAGCCTGTGTGATAACCAAATTAGGATACCGTGTGATACCGCTAGTTATCACATGGGCCCAAACACCCATATGAAATCACACCCAAGTATGACATGAGAAGAATTACCTGAGACTATTGCAGGGAACCCCACTCCGTTCAGCAGACTGGCGTTAGCACGGTTAGCCTCCATCCTGCGCTTTCTACGCTGGTTCCCTACCCAGTTCTGTAAAATAACATCAACATATTGGTGAATATTTGGTATGACTCGTCCGAGGATCGAACTCACTACCTACTGAATGCAAGGAGAGCACATGAACACTAGGCCATTGCACTCTACCCACTTGGCCATTGCATCAGATTTAATATTTCTTATTTAGTATTTCGCACCAATTTAATTTCTTGGTTAACGGATTCACCCGCTTCATTTTTTTTCTGATTTGCAAAAAAAAAAGTTCAAAATGAACTGCAAAATGCTAATATTTTGCCCCGAAGAGTTGAAAACAGTCCTTTTCCTCCTAGTTGTTACAGTTATTCCATTTTTCAATGCAATGGTATCATTAAAATTTCAAAATTCATTGTTTAAATTTTGAACCAGCCTGGTGTGGTGACTTCATGGCTCCTATTGTATCATTTTGGGCCATAATAGGATGCCTAGGCCTGATTTTTTTTTTTTTCGCCCGACGGCCCCATTATTTTTCTAGAAAAATCTGTTAACCAAAAAATTGAACTTGTGTGGCCTTACCCTGACTACATCAAACTCCAAGCTGAGTTCCTTGGCCACGGTCATCATCTGGTCCAGACAGCTCTTGGACTGGTTGTTCATGCCCTTCTCGTAGTGCTCGGTCAGTACGCGGACCTGCTCCTCTGTGAAAACCGTCCTCTCGAACGGGCCCTGGAAAATGTCGCCCATCTGAGGCAAGCGTTGTTTTGTTCTTTAGCAGTGTTACTGTTGAGTAGGAAGCAATTAATGTGTGACACTGACCAAGGATGTGTTACTGCATTAAAGCATGCTATGGAAGAAAGGGTAGTGGTATCATCTGTATCGGTATAGCCAGTATAACCACCCTTTGGTGTATTTACACACCAGCTATCAAAGGACTATGATGATCATCATCAGTGGTATGTTCCTGCACATTGCTCAAAAAAATAATGTTGTGTTTCCAGTTTCAGCCCGTCAAAAACTAGGGTTGGTAGGTAGGAATTTTATCATTTTTATCATGATTTTATTACCTTATTATGATTTTTTTTTGGCTAAAATGAACCAACAGTGTCTCAAGGACCCATCCACCTATTTGCTTGTGGACAGGTATTTCACCCAATTTACTGAAGAAAAATTGCTTCTGAAAATGTGTTAAATTACGTTTCAGATGCAGATGTTAGATCAAAAATTTTATAGCCATAAGAGCGGTTCATCAGAAAAAGGACTATTCCAGACCTATGGTCAGTGTTTTTTTGCCAGGGTCGGTCAGGAAACCGGGAACACAATATCTTTTCCCTTGACAGAAGTATCATTAAAAAATCTGAAGGCACATGAAACAGCAGAACGATGATGTTTGAAATGAACATTATCAAGCCATACAAAATTCCTACATACATGTACCCTCGTGGTGCGTTCAAAGGTGATCCCATCACTAGCAGCACTGAGTTTCCTTTTCTTGACAGAACCAACATCGGGGGGAGATGATGTTGTAGAGGGATCAAGCTTTGATGAAGAATGACAGAAGACATTTAGGTGATGATCAGCTAAGGCAAGCAACTCCATTGTCTCACATTGGATACAAACTATAACACTTTCACAGCCAGCTCTATTGTGAGCAGAAATTAAGATAGACAAACCACCCCCTTTTATTTTCAGTCTAACTATGTGTGAATACTCCGTGACGGTTTTTCGTGTTCGCAGCCAGAACACAGGAATCCCTTTAATTTGTCCAATCAGCATGTAATTTTATACACCATCTCCAGGCATGCCCATGATGATGCACGTGTTTTTATTTTTACCGTATCTGCTTTCGCGGTCAATGTAATATTTCAAATGCACCCCTACACTTATGAGGTAAATTGGAATAGCCTATGGTTTTGAATAGCGGGTCTGGCCAATTTCCTTCATGCAGACGTAGAGTGGGTCGTTTAATTTAACTTTATGACATTACTGCAACATTGCAAAAGCACATGCATATCACCTGAAATGAGCATTTTGCAGGCAATCCAGGCAATGAAGATGATGGCTCTTGATCTGTTGGCAGGCGCTTGGTTTGCTCATCATTCACTTCAAACTCGTTAAGCAAATCTGTGGCACTTGACGTGGCCTTATCAGCGGCATTGGCCAGCGGCACCTCCTGTTGACCAGTTGCACCAAGTGCAGCATCTACTGTTACTACCTGTGACGTTTCCTTGGCTGATGATGAAGCTCCTGCAGTTCCGTTCTGATCAGATAGGCTGACCTCCCTCCTCTTGTTCAACAGGGAATTCACCGGGCTTGAATACAAGACATTTCTCATTTCCTCTGTCAACAAACTAGTGGAACCTGCGGATGCTTGAGACATTAGGTCATCTTGCATAGAGAAGACGGAGTGTATCTTAAGTCCCTGATCTTCCTGAGAATCGGAGGTAAGATGTCGAGGGGACATTTCTCCTGATGGGTTAGCGAGAACAGTTACAGCAGGCTGATTGTTCGTGACCACAGAAACTAGGCTGGATACCGGAGGCAGTGGAAACCTTAAAGAACTTTGGCTACCATGGTTATCAAATGGTCCAGCATGGAGGGATGTGGAGCTACCAATGGACGGATCGATGGTTTTCATCGTTTCTACAGCAACATTGGCCAGGAGTTGTTGAGAGGACATGTTGAAGTTCCCACAGTTTGAGTTGCTAATCCCGTGCTGTCTGTAAAACTCCTGCTGTTCTTTTCTCTCAGCATCCAGTCTCAGCTTGCGACGATAGTTTCCTACCCAGTTCTGTGGAACAGATAAAAACATTGAAACTAGAAAGGTAACATTTGCAAAGCAAATGCATAATGTTTACCTTTGTATATGGTCTCCTCTGTTAATTCTTACTCAAAAACATATATCTGGTCAGACAGGAGTCTAAATCTCTCCTGCTATAAAATTGCAACATGATGTACTAGTTACCATGGTGATAGCCATCTGGTTCAGGTCATTGACCTTTTTAGTTTGGAGAAGAAGAAGAGGAAACAGAGTAAAAACATTATGTTTTCCTTCAGTAAACATAAAACATTTATGATTTATTGAAATTGTAATAATACAATACACATTGGACACAGGCAGCTGTTGCTGGTGTTATGTGACCCACACATACAAACAAATACAGGACAGGACAATACTCATTTCCACTTCTAATTTCACAATGTTAATAGTTACTAATAGTGGCTCCATAACCATTTTAATAGAGGTATGTTAAATAATAACACGGTTTATAGAGATTTAATGATTGTCCCATTTTTGTAAGACTTACCCGAACAGTATCAAAGTCCAGTCCTGTCTCCGTGGCACAGGCAAGCATCTTCTCCCTGTTCACCAGACTCTGACTGTTCATGCCATTCTCATAGTAACGTTTCAGGGTCTCCACCTGCTTGTTGGAAAAGGCCTGTCTTTCTTGAAACGGCATCTGAAAATCACAGAAAGAATTACCTTCAGACTGTAGTGAATAATATATTTTTTTTTATATTCCGACATGAATAGTGAATAATATTTCAAGACTATAGTGTTACCATAATGTTTTTGTCTCGGTTTTTGCAGTTCACGATGAAAGTTTTAATTAGCATTTTTTCTGATTTTGTCTGAAAACTGGTCTTTGCTACATGATGGTTGCTCTTTTTTATGTACACCTGCCCAAGACTATCTATACTGCTACTAGTCTAGTCTATATTTCGTAAGACTACAATTTGGTACTGAAAAAACTACGCAGTAGAATAGATTGGTACTGAACATGGCCCATGCTGTATCTGCCACGCCCACCCAACTTTTGGATCCAGTTGTAAGATCATCACAATTCACATACGTTGTTCGAAATGTCGCAAATGGGAACAATCTTGGATAGCTTTTATTGATGAGTTTAACATAGAAATGTGGTTGACACTGTCATGGTCAGCAAATTTAAGCATGAGGCGAGCTAGCTACAAGGGCAATCCGCCCATCGGTGGCCGGTGGGTAACCTTGGCTTCACCGCTAATGTTACGATCGCAAAGTTTACCTCGAATGATGAAGACCCGCGGGCCCAGCAAATCCCACGAAATCACAGCCCAGCTGACGAAATCATCCGAAATCAGCTCTTCCAAGATGGTGGCTCGCGAGATTTCAATTCAACGAGATCATGTGATCTGGGTTGATTTATTCAAATCAGGTGCCTGATTCCCAAAATAGCGGTGACGCCGAGGCCTTCTTTCGTGACCGCTTTCTGGGCATGTTTATTCTTTGTTGGAAAGGTGGCAAATATCTTGATGAAATCATGTTATAATCAACGAAAATATGGCGAAGATCATCCAACAAATTATGTGATATCGTAGTGTCCGAACACGGAACGGAAGTTAGCTTGTTTACAAGTTTGACACAGCACTTCCGGGTTCATAAGGTTACCAGTCGAGTCCACTTGCATAAAAGGTGAACCAGCATTGGCGATAAGCCAGAAATACCAACGTGGCCACAATGGTCACTGAAACTATAACCGCTAACCTTTGTTATCACAGCTGCTTATAGAATAATTATCCAAACAGTCTTTTGTTGCGCTGCTTTGAGTTTAGTGATTTAAGCGTTATGGCACACCCCTATTTCCAGAGTGATGTGTCCCTACAACAACAAAAGTAACATGGCGAACGCGATGGAAAGCGTTGGGAGTTGGACTCCAAAACAGGTCGGGTTGTGGCTTAAAGGTGAGCATTTCAATCTCCTGTTTATGATACATCGATAAGATATGCTTCAAGGATTATGAAAAATATAACTTTTTGGTCAGTAGGTGAAGGAATCGGGGCTTGTCGAAGCTCAAAGTTGACGGGCTCGAACAAAAAAGTCACACGCGTTTGAAAATCCTCTTTGGGCGGCAACCGACGGGTGTCTTCTTCGCCGCTGCGAAGTGTCGTCTGCACACTCCGATGTCAGACGGCCGTACTATTTTAAAAACTGTAGCGGTGGCGTGTTGAACGTCAAGGGGGAAGCTTGACTTACCCTAGGTCACGTACAGTCAACATTTGATAGCCCCTGATCGCTTGCGGTTAAGTCAGCTCTGCTATTCAAGTATGCGTGTCAGACTGTTAGTTTGACTCTCTTGTCACTAAGCAGACCACTTGTAAAACACCATCCATTCCTTCATCTTGAGAGTTTACAACTTAACCAGCATCTGGAGCTACTTTAAGACTGTTTTGAGACACCAGATAGTCTCAAGATGCGGGGAAGGCAATGGGAGAAGTCCTGAAGGAAGAAGCTTTGGTATTTCTAGTTTACAAGTGGTTGGATTCACACGGGTGGAGTCGACAGTTGGTTGGCCATATTCTGCCCTGACAGCTGACTTGGTTAGGATTTTACAGACATTATTTTGTAACATCATCGTGGCAACTTTCAACTTTATCCCCCCCCCCAAAAAAAAGTCTAAAGTAGATGGTAATTATGCAGAGTGAATATTTTTTTTATTCGCAACACTCAAGTTTCTTTTCAAAACTTGGGATAAATAACTGTTTGTTGCAAATTGTTGCCATGGGCATTTATCTATGATTGCAAAAATACATTAAAGTTATAACAGCATTTTGAAAATTGTGTTCTTTTAAGGTTATTTGTCCTTATGAAAATTCAGGTCACAATAATTCAGAGAGATGAAATCAGAAATGTTGTTTTAATTAACGTTACATGTACTTCCTCTTCTAATACAAAACATTGATATTATATTATCATATTGTAACATGGTACTTGGAAAAACAAATCAAGAGCCATACGTAACTAACACTATGTATTATTTTTAAGACACCCCAAGAAGTGCCATCTTAACCCAATTTGGCAAGGTTTTCCTCAAAATTTTTATGTGTTGTCAAAGTAGAATCTACACTAGAGTAACATGTATGAATGTCTGTTGACCCCAGTGTTAAAAATACCACTCCCTTTCATCTAGTAGAATGCCCTTGCTTTAATACACAATACAACAGTAGTCTGGCATCTGCTTACTATTAACACTAACAGTGTTATAGAAGAGAACCCAGCTAATTTTTGGCCTTTGGGTACTTTGAGGTCGTCATTAATCAAATACATGATATTTCCTCTAACTTTGGCTGACAAAGGTTAAAATGTTAGCCTTGACCTTGCCTTGACACATGCCAAGTTCAAGTAGGCAGGAAAGAACCCTCCCCTCCTGAGGCATGCATCACTTCCGGCAGGGGTTCTTTTATCACCTTGTTTGGCCTGTAGACTGTCTCTGGGGGGGTTTCTCGAATCCGGTTTCTCTGTTCAACTGCAGGGCTCAAAATTCATTTTTGGGAACACTGTAATTCCTAATTTTTTTCACGGTACTGTTATGTTCACTGTTTTCACTGTGACTGCTGTACCCTGAACTTATCATTAGTAATTTACTGTAGTTAACAAATAATTCCTGGACTTTCTTTTCCTGCACCTGTCTCCACTGTGAATATATAGTTCCGTGAACATGTCCACTTTTATCAGATCGTGAAATTTTTATTCTGTGAACATAAAGTGAATTACAGTAGGTGCACTGGTACACCCAACCTAAGAAATTGGGTGCACAAAAATTTTGGGGGCGTACCATATAAAATGAAATAAGTAAAAATTAATTATGTTTCATTCTTGAAGAAAAGTGCTACGACAATGATTTTATTATTTTTCTGACACTTAGATGATAAGAATATGCTGTATACTAATATTTTTTTACTACTATACATTTAACAACAGTACATATGTAAACCTACGAAAATATTTGGGTGCACGAGTGCATCAACAGGAAAAAAATTGGGTGCACAGCTCCAAATCTGGGTGCACTAAGTAAGGTGCACATGCATCCAGTATTTCGAGCCCTGTATATGGTCATCTTACATGGGATGGATCATTGTCAACAGTGTGGGAGCTAGTAATATTTTCCATATGTACATTGTATTCTCTGCAATATTCTCTCTTAATATATGTATTGAATTATTAATGATATTAGTCTGTATCACTCTGTCATCAATATTCTGATGTAATTTCTCAACTGTGGTTGCCTGCATGCTTCCATTTTGAAATTACATTCTACCTTTATTCATTATTTGAAACATATGTGATATTTGACATTCCTAGCATATGGTCTCATGATGCTAGACAGGAGCAATCACCAGTGATTTAGGTATGTTCTATGAAATAAGTGATGACTGGTTCTCTAAAAATAGCAAAAAGGAAGAAAGTAATTTTGTTCCCATTTTCTTCTGCAAACTTTCACATTACAACAAAGGCATTTGTGAGGGAATCCCATTTTGGAATGTGGGGCATTGAATGACTTCAATTTTTAAATTGTTTGACATTATTAATTGAATTGGCCAAGTTAGGGTATATTTCAGAAAAAGATTTCAAATACATATGTAGGATAAAAAAAGAGAAGTTAGTAGCCCATACAGATCAGTTGCTATAGACAAGTACTGTACATGTACTTAAATAAGTTATAGCAGGGCCTGCATAGGGGGGGTAGTGATTACGAAGTACGCAAAATTTACGCTGCCGATTACGAATTACGTTTAAGTCTCAGAGCTGATTACGACTTTACGCTTTGCAGCTATTGTACTATTACAGATTAGGTTGATTTTTGGGGAGGCTGCCTATGGATTACGAAGACCAAATAGGTCTGATTACACCTTACGAAAAAGGGCATGCAGGCCCTCTTATAGCAGATCATGCAATATATTATTATATATTTGACCCCTCCTCCATTTTGTTTTACCCACTCCCTTGGAAACCAGTTGAAAGGGGAAGTCTCCTTGAACTGCCCTTGAAACCTATCCACACCAGGACAGCCACCAAAAACAGCACTTCACTTTGTATCCTGATACTCAACTCAGTAATTGTACCTGCCGCACAGAAATACTCACAGTGTATAACTGCTGTGGGACTAAAAGGGTTGTAAAACGTCGTAAACTTGAGTAAGCGTATCGTAAACCTGCACACGTGCAATTACATTTTGTATCAGAAATGCAGACACCTCTTGGAAGTAGAAAGTTTCGTAGATTGGTTATTTGAAATGCTAGCGTCGTGAAATTGGGGCTACATCAATACAGTTGCTTACATTTGTATGGACAATCTATTTGTAGTGTTTCTGGTAATGCTAAAAAGTTCTTTTGTTTTCATTGAAATAGAGATGAAGAATTCTTGCCCAAAATGAAACTGAAAGCTCTACGTGATTAGTAATGGCGCGGTCACATTTCCCAACTCGGGGCCCGGCCAGGCAGTCATAACTCATATGGAACGAAAATTATGATATAAGACAGTAAAACACAAAAAAAGTTTTAGAAAATTAAGCATGAGCACTATTTGTGTATACTCTTAATAAAAATTGTTTATTTTTCGTTCACGCAAACAACCCGGCCAGGCCCCAGCTTGGAAATGTGACCGTGCCATAACTTGACACCTTTTCATCGAAATAGAGGTGAAGAATTCTTGCCCAAAATGAAACTGAAAGCTCTACCGTCATTAGTAACTTGACATCTTTGTATTGCATCATGCTGAATTTTCAATTGCCTCATGTCAGTATCCCCATCTGACAACGCAGACATCTACTAGACTGTTTAGTTTTAAAATTTATGACAAAAATGTAACACTTCCCCTTCAGGCAACTACAACTGGAGCCCATTAATTACATGGACTTGATTTATGGAGCACAGTTGGGAGAAGGTCAAAGATATCAGTGGTTCAACCAAGCTTTAAATTGGCATCATCAGATGGCAGTTTGGGATGGGTCCCCGTAAATGGTGGGACAACTGTGTCCTCCTTGTTTGATGAAGGTAATGGCACTTTAGCAGGAGGCATGCAGGATTTGAAACCATCCATTTGGGATTAATTTGTCAGGCTTAGTTTGGCATTTGGGTAGAACTACTAGAAGGGAGTGGGACATTTCTGTGGTTAGAAAGATTGGGTGTATCACTCAGTATACAATGTAGAGGGCCTGCAGTGGGGGGGGGGGGGCTTTACGATTTCCGGCTAATGTCCTGTTACGAATTACGTTGATTTTTAGGGCGGCTGCCCACGGATTACGAGGACTACACCTTATGAAAAAGGGCATGCAGGCCCGCAGTATACATGTAGGATGGATACAAACTGGGGAATGGATACTCATACTGTAAATCACAATTTTTTTGCGGTACTTTTATATTCGCACTTCTGTACCGCAAACATATCATTACCGTGAATTTACCGACTTTTTTTTGCTGCACCTGCCGCCACCACGAACGTATAGTTTCGCGAACATGACAAGCATTTTTTCTCAGACAGGGAACTTTCGACTGCGAACATAAAGTGATTTACGGTACTCAGGAATGATACGGAAAGTGTTGACTGTTGAATAAGACTTTACAAACAAAACAGAGTGGGTAGCGGATATTCTGAATGATTTCATCCCTCTCAGTTGGAGTGAAAGAGCGTGAAAGGGTCCTTATGTAGAGCATGGCACTACATGTGTAGAAACCTGAGCCATCCATGTAATCAGAGTAAAGCAAACAATCCATGGTGTCTGAAACTGATCTTATCTTTAAACAAGAAGACCCTCACCACAAGACAGCCAAGTACTGGAATAATAATTACTGGTACATGTAAGATACATCTTAATTGATTAGCAAGGTAGTGTCAATGACAACTTTCGTAATTTTGTGTTTTTCAATTTATTTCGTGTTAGGACATAATACACAACTCATCCAAGTCAGATTATTGTATAATGGACTGTGCTAATTCTACCATGGAAACCCATTTGGTGTGCCAATTTTCAGCATGTTGACTTTTGGCAACACCAGAACAGCATTTTGGAAAGACTAGTACTATGGAGTGACAATTTTTTGAGTAGTTTTCCATGATTTATTATTTTTTTCATGATTTATAATAAATCTGGAGAATCACAAGGCTGCAAAATGATTACTGCAAACTAGGTGAACAAAAGAAATGTCGTTTTTGTTTGTTTCATCTACACCAGGTGCAACACACTAAATGCAGCTGTTACAGGAACAATAGAACACCTGACCATCTTCTATTGTCTGTTATCTATTGTCGTGGAATAGATTTAATTTGATAGAGGCAGCCAACATGTGTACATGTCAACAGAGCTGAAAGCATGTTACTATAAACATTTCTGTTGCAATGTTCATGTCCGTAGCCTGGATTTTGATTTGGGGGGTTCTTCCCACTGTCTGAGGGACCAGTAACTTGAGAGTTTCCTACTAGTAGGCTAGGGGAGTCCAGGGGCATTCTACCATGGAAAATTTTGAAAAGTGAACCTTCAGTTCTGAAATGGCATTTCTTGTATTTTTGAGAGGGTTTCAAAGGAAAAATCAGACTTTTTATTCAATGACATAGTGAGCAGTTTTCTAGCATACCAGCCCCTACGGTAAATGCAAATCAGTCCACCTTTTAAAGAAAACTCTTGGACCTTTGGATAAAAAGTGAAAAATCATGATTTTTTCGAGTGTCGCGTAGCAAAAATCCGGATGGTACCCAGGCTAAAAAAAGTGAACAATTCAGTTTGAACCTTGTGGGGGAGAGGGGTCTTCCAAACCCCTCAAACCCCCTCTGGCTACGGGCATGATACTAGTACCCACACAGTAAGAATTGTGTAGGAAGCATAGGGGGCCATTTACTTTGCCTTGACACTCTACCTGTGTAAAACACTTGCTATACAAACCCTAAACCCTTAAACATTGTTTGCCCACCTACTATCAACACTACAGTGTCAGGCGCTGACATATTAATAATAGACTGTGTAGCAGGGTTGTTGTGAGTTCAGCCTTTGTCTGAAGATAAGCCATGTTGATAAGGAGGGTAATTTGGGGTCACGAAGATGTCAGCGTTGACAGGTCACCCGTATTTCCAGGTCACTTGAAAACATTTACTATGTGTTTTCTGCAAGTACAATAAAACTCTTGACCATGCTGTGTAGTATGTACATCAGGGCTCGAAATACTGGGTGCATGTACACCTTATAATTATTAGTGCACCCAAATTTGGAGCTGTGCACCCAATTTTTTTCTGTAGGTGCACTGGTGCACCCAAATATTTTTGGAGGTTTACGTATGTCAATATGTTTAATGTAGACTAGTACTAGTATTTAGCATATTCTTAACATGTAAGTGTCAGAAAAATAGTAAAATCATTCTTGTAGTACTTTTCTTTAGAAACGAAAACATAATTAGTTTTCACTGACATTCTACTTATTTTATCTCATATGGTGCACCCACAGAAAATTTTGTGCACCCAATATTTTAGGTTGGGTGCACCAGTGCACCTATTCCCAAAAATGAATTTCGAGCCCTGGTAGTGTATATCTTTCTTTTCTTGTTACAACTCACAGATTGTCGGTGAGGTAGTTTGTTTGTTTGTTTGTTTGTTTGTTTGTTGACTCTTCTAGAGTGTCATGAGTTGATTATAACACCTGCTGTTTCCAATTGGCAATAACACTTATTTGATACTTATAAAAATAAAATCATGATATACCAGTGCTCTAGCCAGCTCAAAAGTTTTTTCCGTCAGCCCAGGTTCATGATTGGACCTGGGGGGAGAGTGCTCGCAATCTAGGGGGTCTGGGAGCAAATTTTAAATTTTCAAGCCCTTAAAAATGCAGTTTCCTACATTTTGAGAGGCAAATCATGGAGTTGAGAGTGGTTGTTGGTGGTCCTTTGTATGTTTTTATGATTTTTTTTCCCAAGTTTTTGTCAACTTTGTCTGTTAAGGTTGACGTACTGGTTTAAAAAATTTTTCACACACCACAAAGTTCCTGCATTTGATGGAAAAATGGGTGCTGGCTTAGAGCTCTGTGGTATACACTAGCATATTCAAACAACATCAGACACATATTTCATGCACTCACTAGATTGCTTAAGAAATAGAAAAAAGTCCTTTGTCTCTTCAGTACCATAAATTGTCCATTAGTCGTAACAGGTAAAAGATGTAATTAGCCCCAGGTGGTTAACGGTTGGTTGTACAGGTGATAGCCGTTTTGTCTCGCCTGAGAGAAAGTCTACAATAAAAGACTGACAGGTGAAAACCAGTGGCGTGACTCTGGTACGACCAATCATGGGAAAGACGAATACAGGTCAAGTTGCAATGAATATTCGATTGTAGAAGATCATACGATAACAGTATAGAACATACCTCACTTGGGGGCTTGAAAAAATTGTTTCTTCCTTGCAATTCAGAATCTTGAAATCTTTCTTGCAATATATGAATTATTATTCAGAATGCATATGATTCAGAATCTGTTTTTTTGACAATTTTCCACTGACTCACTGATGAAAGGTAGTGGAGTGGATGCTACCTGAAACGTCTGACAGACCGTTTCCAAATCATATCCAGTGGCTTGTCAATGAGTAGTTGTTTTTTGGCGTATATTAGAAAAATGTATTTACAGTTCTTGGATGGGACTGTCTAACCTTCACCGACATATGATTTAGAGTATTGAGATTGATTTTTAGCACAAAATATATTGTTGCAAGCTGTGTTATTTTTTTCTGCACACTCAAAAATAGTTGTGTTTTTTTTACAAATCAACGGTTACCTGCTATCCAGGTACATCATTTGCAGGTGTTAAGTAACTTAACACCTGCAAATGATGTACCTGGATAGCACTCTTGTCATTCTTTGACACTAATGTTGTATTTGTACAAAATCTCTTACACTAGTTGCTAGGACTCTGTAGAAAGCTCTGTTTTGTAAATCTGGGAGATTTCGTCCCTTTATCGTAACAACAATAAGATGGCCTCATTTGTAACCCACGGACACAAAAAGGCGTAAATGAGAAGACGCCCTGAGGCTGTTACTGTTATGCTAGACAAAGTACCAGACGTTACTGTTGTTACTAAAGAGCTCACACAGCTTAAAAACAGGAAAGCCGGCCAACAGTCAGTAGCTATCAGTAGAAACTATCTATTCAGGCCAACAGCCCATTGGGAATAAAGAATCAATGACAATGAACAATTATGAAGACAAGACAACAGACAATCAAAATAAGTTGTGTAAGTTGTTGAGTCAAGGATGTTACATCATGTCGTCCTTGGTTGAGCCAAGGACATTTCTAAAGAAAGACCTCTAGGTTGAATCCTAGATTTAATATTGTAGGATAAATAGTTAAACACTACAAGTTTTCAACATAGCACAAATGGCTACTAAATAAATATAACTAGTAATTGTATAGTATAATGAAAAACTACTGAAAGAACAGTCTTGACATTCTTTACTGTTTATTCTACTCTTTACTCTTACTGTTTTGCATAATACTTTCAGGGTTCAAATAGAGGTAAAATATATGCAAAATAAAACATACACTGTACATGTACTAAACAGACTACATAACACACATTATAAGAACACAAAACATACAAAAAGTAATATTATTTACAAACTAATTACAGACTCAACTTGAGTGTTAAAAAGAGTTTTTGCAGACTTAAACTATGAGTGTTATATTATTATATAACTGATATATACATTGTATATTGTATTATGCATTGTTACAGTCTTGTAGCTGATAGCTGAGTCTTTATAGATCATGTCTATTTGAATTAGATACTGTAATAAGGTCTTCTGCCACCTGTTACTTTTACACACCTTACAGTTTTCCCCAGAGGACTACCTACCAAATGATTTATGTATTACAGATTTATGAATTCCTATACCAGATCTCTGCATGAGGTAAACTGGTACAAAAGACAATAAATAGGTGTTTGCACTTTATTCGCGGGGAGTCTTGTCTGAAACACCTGGGGAGATGTTCCCTATTGTGTTCCATAATTATCATGTAAATGTCCTTGGAAAAAGGGTGACCTCACCTGTCTGGACATGTTGTTTCTTGGCTGTTTTGTAGTGTTGTTGATTTGATTAGGCCACACCAATTAAGTTTGTTGTTTCTCGGATTTTTTTAGAAAAAATATGAAGCAACAGGGCGAAATAAAGAAAAAAAACAAAACAAAACAGACCAAGGCCAGAAATGTTACAACATGAGCCATGAAGTGAACATGCCAGGCTGGTTTATAATTAAAACAATAGATTTTGAACTTTAATGAAAAAAATTGCATTGTTACATTGAAAAATTTTAACAACTCGGAAGAAAAGGACTTTCTTCAACCATTGGTGCCAAACTATGTCTTGCATTGAGCATTTTGCAGTTGATTTAGAACAAAAAAGTTTTTTTTTTTTGCAAATCAGAACAAATGGACAGGGCGAATCCGAGAAACAACAAATTGATGTGGCTTTACTAGTATATGGAACCCCAAAACTGATGTGAGCGTGCGAATAAAAAAAGTTTGGCAAAAAAATGTTGCCTTCATGACAACAAAATACTAAACACACAGCATATGTATGGTATGGCAAATAATAGTCTCTTCATTTTTTTTTCGTCATATTTTCTTCTTTTCCTTTATACATTACTAGTAATTGATTTTGGCATTCTACGACATTAGTATTGTTTTCCAATGTATTTTTTCTTGCAATTAATAGCACGATTTACAGTTTGGTTGGAAAAGGATTAAAACTCATGCGTGCATGAATGTCATCCATACAATCAAATCAACATGGCCTAAATCATGAATGAGTAAAACTGGTTAGAATTTAGCTGCCGCAGATGTGGTCAGTCACTCAATGTTCATTTATACCGTCTGACCTTATACATGTAGATAAGAGAGATGTTTATTATATTTGATGGCAGGTTTGGATGATGCCATCCAGCCTTACATCCAGAGCTTCATCCTGGCCGGAGTCACAGGAGAACACCTCCTCAACCTGTCACACAGAGACATGGACAGGTTAAATGTAAGTATCACACTCAAACACACAGTACCAACATTTAGACTTAAACAATTTCGATGTTATACTATAACTATAAGATGCAAGAGACTGCAAAAAAGTTTTAGTTTCATCAATTTTAAAGGTCATATCTTTCCAAGGTTCAATGAACTCTTGTCAGAAGTGAAGATAGGACCTTAAAAAATTGATGAAGCTAAAACTTTTTTGCAGTCTGGATCCCATGCATCTGTAAGACTCATTATTAGTATAAGATCAAATGTGTGAAGTCTAATAATGTTGATATTGTACAATGACTATGTCATACTGTACATATGTAATATCTAAATCTTTTCTGAATTGAAATGTGAATATAAAATAGACTAAGTAAAGACTTGGAAAAAATGCCCCTTTTTTTGCATGTTACAGATACAGTTAACTGAAAGAAGAAGTTTTAGTTTCATTACTATCTCTATTTGTTTTTTTTAAATATTAATATGAAATAAAGCTCTTAGACTCATAGAATGTTCTTTTTGGTTGTATGGGCGTTAAACTAACAGGTTATTCATAAAAATTATATTACAATGATATAATATGTAGTTCCATTTTACACATTTGTAGCTTACTGAATGTACAATGTATATGGCTGACCAAAAATTTCATGGTTTGTTTCTAACCTGTTAATCTGATTAATTCTCTTTATTAGATCACCAAAGTGGGACACCAAGAAATCATTCTGGAAGCTGTGGACCTCCTCTGTGCCTTGGTAAGTGCTGGGAAGAACTAGCAAAGATATGAAGGAGGTTGTTATAACAAAGTTAAGCATAGTCTGCTCCAACCCAGGTATTGAAAAACACCATAAAATTTTGTATGATAGCACTGACAGAAAATGAGAATGTACCGATAGTGAAAGAAAGGCATTTTAGTTTTTTCAAGGAGCTTTCATGATGAAAGCTCCTTGGTCTTAGTAAAATGTTGAACTTTATTCCAACATACACATTATACTCCTTGGTCTTTTTGACTTGAAGAAGAAAAAATGACACATCCTATTCTATATCTGGTCTATTCTGAGTCATTTTTTACAAGCCTTAAAACAGCATTTGGTAATTTCATGGAATCAGTTTTTAAAAAGTACAAAAATTGGCAAAGTAAACTAGATTAATATTGTCACCCAAAATCTTTCAGTCTTCACCCAAGGATAGTATTATTGGTACTTAGTTAAAGCCATGCTCCTGGCACCTCAAAACCTTAGGACAAGAACCTTTTTCACTTGGCAGTTATACTTTCAAAAGCTGAATGGTGAGTTAGACTCCCACATACTATTGTTGGCATTGACCCCATTGCTTGGGGCCAGTCAAAATATTTACACATGAAAGGAGACGATATCAACAGGGTGTGAACTGCATTTTTCCCTTTGACTATGACCCTGTTCATACCAGACTTATATTTAGCGGTTTCAACCGGTTTTTCAAAAACCGGTTTTTATTTAACCTGGTGTGAACGCAAATTAACTGGTTTTTTAGGGGTTTAAATCCGATTTTCAAAAACCACCTCGGGAGGTGGTTTTTGAGGGGTTTTTGAGGGGTTTTTCTACCGAAAAACCTGGTCTGAACGCTAAGGGTTTATTGAACCGGTTTTTGCGTCATAATTCTGGGGTCACGGGGCAGCATCCTGGCCGTGTGCGACCTCCAAGCTTTTTTGATCGCGCTGTTTAGACCGTTTCCACTGTTTTTCCACGGTTTCTCTTCATTTTTACGATGGAATCAGCCAACCGCGGCAACCTGGTCGGTGGACGAGACGCTCCCGATACGTATTTTTGGAGAGCAGGAGTTGATCGCCGAATTCGAAAAAGCTGGGGGGAGGGCTCTATTGAGGTCTCTACCGAAACAAAAATGTTGGAGGAGCCTGGTAATGGCCAATTAACCGGATATTCGCTGGACAGTGTTTTTGAAAAACCGGTTTTGTAAGTCTGGTGTGAACGCGACGGGTTTTTGCCGGGTTAATTATTTAGCGGTTTCAACCGGTTTATATAAGTCTGGTATGAACAGGGTCTATGTTTCTGTCATGCTTACTAGTACTGCAAAGTTGAGAATGTGTATTCTATAAACATTCCCAAAATATTTATACAGAAAAATTATAGAATATACAACATGTATTTCCATATCTTGTGTATGTGGACGTAGGCCTCCAGATATATGCTACCAGTTGTATTTCTACTATTTGCATACCACACATTATTTGAACAATAAAGGTTCAAGGATTAGGTGTGTTTGTGTCTATGCCCTGAGGGTTTTTTGGGACTGTTTATCTAAAACAAGGTTGCTTCTACAATGTAGGTTATTGACTCTTTATTGTCTTCTAGAAAAGCATAACCAAAGAAATCATGCATAGTGATAATATTCTAAGTTTTGTGAGATATGATATCCTGCTAAGTTATCACTATTTGGAGCCTGCTATACCTGCATGAATGTTCCAGTAATTGCTACTGTGTGTGATTTTGTAATTTTGCCACACAAGTTAAGTCCAGGCAACATGACTATCTATCATTTCTGAAGTTTTACTTCTTGTATGATTGTATCTTAATAATATATATACTCAAACCCTCTCAAGAATACAGGATACTTACACTGCACAAAATCCATTCTTTAAGCACACTTTAAAGCATGTGTAAAGGTTCTGTTTTGTCACTATCATAATTTACACATAGTGATTATACAATTTCATGCAGTGTTTAAAAAATGCTTGTACTGGTATCAATGAAAAATCTACAGGACCACCAAAAAGCGGTCACATTGGCCAGATGGTCCCTATGTAGAGGTGCTATTTCTGTACATACTCATAGGAAATTCAAACTCTATTACTGGATATTATAACATTCTACTACTGGATAAATTACGGAGATTATCCAGTAGTAGAGTTTGAATTTCCTATGAGTATTGTTTACCTGGATATCTAACCTTCATCAACGTATATGTACATGTTTGTAACGTTTCTGTATATTGTTGGGTTCAATTTGTATTTTTATGAAATTGTATGTTTTAATGTGTGCCCAGGGATACCTGAAAAGCAGATCAATGGATCTGAGGTATTCCCTGGTGAAATAAATAAACTTAAACTTACTTAAACTTATTTCTGTACATGTTTTACTACAATATCTGCATTTTTTCCTCAGAATTTTGGGCTGGAAAACGAGACGCTCCAGTCCTTGACGGTGGCGCTGGGTTTGAACGTAGAAAACCTGGAGATGGCCATGACTGTGAGGAACCAACAGAGCATCCTGGTGGGCCTGGCTGGTCCCAGGGACAACTACAAACTCCCACCAGACATCCTACGTGCAATCTGCGACGTTTTAAGTGCTGCAAAGGCTGTAGTGTCCTGGTTAGACAGGTAAAAGAGAATACAAACTTTGGAAAATGAATCTTTTTCTTTTTACAATGAAATTTAGAGCTTTTTGAATCATGATTGTAACACAATTTTACAATGATTTTTAAATCATTAAAATTCCATTAATTTGCCCAGGAATTTAAGCTGCAAGACAGCAATACCAGTATATCAGAGTTACACGTATCTAAAGCAGTAAAAGAGAGAGGAAACTTTCTCAATCAGTGTGCTGAGCTGAAAAAGCTTTTATTGTATTTATTTATCTATTACTAACTATTAAAGGCACCCAAAATAATTTCAGGGTAGTAAAACTTGATTTTCAAGTTCAATTTTTTGGTCATTTTATTTTTATGTACAGTATACTTAGTAAGTTGAATCAACCCTTTCCTGTAGCACACTAGTACTGATATCTGTGAGGCAAAAATGTGATGTCGCTGACAGAAAAAAGTTGTTTGACTTGCATCTAACTACTTATTTATTGGTGGCACCAAAATAAAGAGACTCCTGATGTAGCTTGTTTGGCGGCTATTTCAAACGCTTCAGTACATGAAATAAAATAAATGACAGACTCCCTAATCTAGAATATTTATTGTTTTGCCATGCTGAAATTGCATTGGATGCTGTGTCCACACTGCCTCACCATGTAGTCCATTGTTTACACAGGACTCCGTTTGTACATATGATGAATTACATCGCAATAAGGAACAGGATAGTGAGAATATGCCTGGGCTTCACCTCCAGTGTACACAAGGTCTGATTCTTCTGTGATCCTTTTTTCTCTAAATCATCTCGATCATTAAGTCTTTTTCAAATTGTTTCACTTGTACGTATTATCCTTGCCCTTGTTTAGAACAGTAACTGAAGTTGTTGTTGTTGTTGTCCTGCTTGTTTATCATTTAGGACCCTAATAAAAGAGACACAGAAGAGACAGTTGTGCCATTGGTAAGTACATTGCAGCATGCAGATGAAAATACTGTGTAGGAATCTTTGGATTTCAGTGTCGCACGTGATTGTTGTATCGTAATTCTTTCTGACATTATAGAAAGAGCACGTCAGCAGAACATTCCGCACCTACATGAAACCAGATTTTTTTTGTGGTATTTGTTGGATGTTTGGTCAACATTGCATCAGAATTTTTCCCATTGCAGAGAATGCAGACGATATGTTTTCTGACACAACATTTGAAAACTGTACACAGGATGTCATCCTTAAATATGCGAATACAACCTAAACAGGACATTCTGCCCAAAATGCTATGCACATACATTAATTATAAGGGGATGCTTGCACAGTACGTTCTGCAAACATACTTACATGTATAAAGTAGAAGGCTGGAAAGGGAATGCTTCAAGTGTGAAAGATGCGCTTCAGCCATTTTATACTGAAATGCAGTTGTGGGAGTGCACCTGCATTTCAGGTACAAAATGGTACAAAATGCACCAGTCCTACATGTACCTTCAATTTTTGGTACATGCATGTATGTAGGATCATAATCTTTTCTGCATTTAATCTTGGATACTCAGTTCTGAATTCTGCACCATTTTTCCTTGTGACAGTGTAAGGAACTTGCCATGTTGAGTCAGAGTCTTCAGCAGTCGGTCAAGGATGACCCTCAGGTGTGCTCCCCAGCCAGGGTGGACGTCGTCACACTGACCAACGTGGACCACAAGCTGGGGCTGGTAAGACGTGCTAATGTCGGACATAGCAATTTTCCTGGAAAGACTCTCACGTTGCTTACGTTTCAGTGTCCATCAGACACCTTGCTCAGAGCTTCAGACTGGGGCACTGCTTCTCGTTGCTGTATGTAGCCGATGTACAGTAGGTGGCGCTTTGCTGGCTAGAAGCAGTCTTGCAGTAGCCTTGGTAATATCTTGGTTAGTTTATTTCCACTCCGATAGTCGCTACACCGACCAACATGACTATCGGTGCAGACGTAAACTAGTCAGGATGGTACCCAGGCTAGTCCCCCAGTTAAAAGCTATGAGGAAGGTGGCATCAAAATGTAAGCATGTGAGAGTCATAACTAGTTGTGTTAAAAAAAAAGAAAAGTATCCCATGATCTACCAACCTGATGACATTATTTTTGGCAGGCTAGTATCATTGTGAAAGAAGGCCACGGGTCATGAGTCCAAAGTTTCAATAAATATTATACACTTGTTGCTTCTTACATTAAATGTAGTTGTGGTTCATAATATAATACAGTGGCAACTAGAAAGGCCGACATTTGCTTTGGAGCAAATACAGCAATGGCTTCACCACATTTTACGACATGGCAGGGAAAGAATGAGAAACACAAGGGAAAACAATGCTTTACATTGATATAACTATAGTATGAAGTAACATACAACTAAGACTACAACAGTTGGATAGCTATTCCCTACATTATTGGTTAGGATTTTTAATTGCATAATGCAAACTGTTGATTTTCAAGAAAAAAGAAGCGTTCATGCCCCGCATTCCAATGCTGGAGCAGGAAAGCTTAAAATACCTACCAAAACACTTGAATACAGACCTACTGTCAGTATGGAATGGCTCTGTGCAGGTATTAATTAAGTTAAGCCTGTTAAATTCCAACAGCCAATCAGCAAGGAGAATAGAGGAAAGCTGCATGCCTATTGGTTGATGCCCTGCATTCCATTGTGATGACTCATGCCCAAATGTGGTAACACTGCACACTAACTCAGTAATACATTTGCTATAACACAGCCAAAAAACTCAAATAAAACCATTCTAAAAGCCTGTATCACAAAAATTAAAAAAACGCCTGGGGGTATTTGCCTACTGTACCTCCATACCAAATTTCAGGTCCTTAGGCCTCAAAATGAAGAAGCTGAATCCATTTAAAGAAATGGCAGGAGGAGAAGAAGAAAGAGGAGAATCATGAGAAAAAGCAATATGGTTTCACCACTTTGTGGTGAACCCATAATTACAAGAAATTTTGTGTTTTTTCAGGGGATGTTTATCCAGTCATCATTCAATGGGACGCACTATGTCACAGGCACAAAAGAGGGGGTGAGTCATCAAAGATTGCTGTCTCTTTTCCCTGCGTATTTACCCTTCTATTTTGTACCGTGGCCGACAAGAACAAAATTTTACACCGCAACTTTTGGTGTTTTACACCGCAACTTTTGGTGTTTTACACTGCAACTTTTGGTGTTTTACACCGCAACTTTTGGTGTTTTACACCGCAACTTTTGCTGTGTTTTACACTGCAACTTTTGGTGTTTTACACCGCAACTTTTGGTGTTTTACACTGCAACTATTGGTGTTTTACACTGCAACTTTGGGTGTTTTACACTGCAACTTTTGCTGTGTTTTACACTGCAACTTTTGCTGTGTTTTACACTGCAACTTTTGGTGTTTTACACTGCAACTTTTGCTGTGTTTTACACTGCAACTTTTGCTGTGTTTTACACTGCAACTTTTGCTGTGTGGAAAACTTACACCCCTCCCCTTTTATAATGGACGGTCCCCCTGTCAGGTCAAAGGTGACAACGATGGCATGCAAACTACGTCGACTGAGTTATCCTTTTCGTGCATAAGTTTTTTTAGAGGAAAAGCTTGGCTACGTTGTGACGTTAGTTTTTTTCTAAAGGTTTTTCTAGCTTTGGCCTATAGACCGGGATAAATTTAAAAATGTTTCGACCAGGTCCAGTGATTACAAATTATGTTGCTTTTTGCTGCCATGCGTCACAACAAATTTATCAAGGACGTCAGATATCCAGCTCCAGACATCAACAGCAATGACATAAATTTTCTGCAGGTTAGTTCATTATTATTGGGTATGGACATCGTTTTTCTTCATTTTAATGTCCCTAGACGTCAGCTTGTGACTTGCCGCCGCCATCTTTGTCACCTTTGACCTGACAGGGGGACCGTCCATTATAAAAGAGGAGGGGTGTAAGTTTTCCACACAGCAAAAGTTGCAGTATAAAACACAGCAAAAGTTGCAGTGTAAAACACCAAAAGTTGCAGTGTAAAACACCAAAAGTTGCAGTGTAAAACACAGAAAAAGTTGCAGTGTAAAACACAGAAAAAGTTGCAGTGTAAAACACCCAAAGTTGCAGTGTAAAACACCAAAAGTTGCGGTGTAAAACACCAAAAGTTGCGGTGTAAAATTTTGTACTTGTCGGCCACGGTAATTTTGCATTGACAAGAACATATTCGTTAAATCTTGTTGATGACATTTTATTCTGAAGTTGTGAAAGTTGTGGACTGACTGTTGAACACTTCTCTGCAGTCTCCAGCTTACACCTGCAAGAGAATACACCCTGGGGATGAAATCCTACAGGTCAACTACCAGACAGTGGTGAGTGTACAGCTTCTGTTTTATAGATTATGCTTGAGACAGACAGTACAAAAGTACATGTACCTGAATAAAAAAAGAAAAATAAAAGAAAAATTTAACGTCTCTCAGTGGCCAATGTGCATAATCTGATGTTGTCACATCGGCGCACCAAATCGGTAGGGTGTTTTTGGCACACAGTTAGACGTATTAGCCCAAGAGGCTCGGTGGGCGTCACTCCACCGTATAGGTGGGGAAGTCGTGTAAAGTGCCTTTCCCAAGGGCACAATGTCGGGCCACAGTGAGTATCGAACCTGGGACCTCTCGGTTCCAAGTCCAATGCTCTAACCATTGGGCCACCGACGCCACCCCTGTGCCTGAATGCTATAGTACTATTAAAGATGATACTCGAGAAAGTTCGTAAAGACCTAGCAAAAGTTCGTAAAGACCTTTTCCTAACAGAAATTGTACACTGGTTTAAAACCATGTTCTATGTGCAATGTTCTTAGCGTAATACTGGTACTTACCTTTAATTTGTTGTGATCCTCAAGGTTGGCTGGAAACTTCAGAAATTGGTGGATGCCCTCAAGGAGGATCCCCATGGGGTAGTCATCACCTTCAAGAAAAGACCAAAAACATCAAGATCATCAGGAACCCCTTCCAGACCCTCGTCTGGCTCCTCGTCCAGGGTATCCCAGGGTTCCCGGCATTCCTCGGGGAACCACATCCGCGGCAGGTCCCTGGATTCCGCGTCGCCAGCGAACTCTGTAGGACGGGTGCCGCCCTCTCCACTAGTGGAACTCTACCTCCCCCCTCCTCCACCAGAGCCATATAAACCTAGGTGAGTGGGACATCCATGGATGATCTGTGAATAGTTTCAGCAGGTCACTGAATAAAGAGACTTTTTACACAAGAGGTTTACTCTGCCGACATTTCAGTGACCGAAGAGGTCCTGAATCCTGCCCAATGCCACCAATCTAGTGCCCTTGGGAAAACCACTTTACACAACTTTCCTCACTTCACTCAGGTGTAAATGAGTACCTACACATATAGTTGCGGTTAGGGACGTCCTACAGATAGGACGTTAAATGGAGGTCTCGTGTTTGGGAGAGCAACACCCCACGCACGTTAAAGAACGCACCGTACATATCAAAAAAGAGTAGGGGACCTTCCCGGTGTGAGTGGTTCAAACCTTACAGTCCAGTCTTACGCAGCTTATACATGTACAAAACTGGTGTGTTACGTCAAAGAAGGCAGTTTACTGGTTATGCAAAGAAACAAACAAAGAATTGTGCCTCACCTGACGTGACAGCGACTAGATAGGTAGATAGGGTACATGTAGGTACTACATGTAGGTAGGATGTTACAGGTCTTGAAATGTTGTGACACACCCTCACTTTTGCATGTGCATCTTTGAATATTGCACAATTTCCTTCATTTTTCAGGCAAAACTTCTTTGACCGCGTGAGGACACCAAACGTTACCCAGTCCCAGGTTCAAGTCCACCAGCCACTATGGTATTTACACTACTGTTTGCTGTAGGGTGGTCTAAAGTGGTGGAAGCACAACTCTTGTTTTCAATTCTCTTTTCCCAACCCCCAGCATGGAACATGTAGTGTTTAATACAGCCCACTTTCACACTTTATCTCATGTTACCATATCCAATGCATGTTTTCTTGTAGGCAAATGTTAGGGTGGTGGATCCCAGTTTGTTTTAAACCCTTTGCTTTTTCCCAGGCATTCAATAATGTTCTCTCTCTTACAGATACTATAGCAACAGAAAGCAATTCTGCACCATTTTGTGAATGTTTAATCATCCATATATGGTGTAATCATCTAGACAATTCTATTTTTATGTTTACCAAAGGAAATCGTATTGTTTTTGCTCGGTTTCCTCTTCTTCTCCAAACCAATAAGGTCAATGACCTGAACCAGACGTCTTTCACCATGGTAACTGGTGTTAGGTTACATCATGTTGCAATTTTATAGCAGGAGGGATTTAGACTCCTGTCTGACCATATAGATGTATATGAATGTGTTTGAGTAAGAATTACCAGAGCATACCATATGCGGAGGTAAACATTATACATTTGCTTTGCAAATGTTACCTTTCTAGTTTTCTGTAACTTTTCATAATGCAGGCCAATTTTTTTTACCAATGAATGTGACCTTCAGGGAAGATGAGGACATGAGCCCCCCTCCCCCTCAGCCCCTGAGTGACAGGTCCCAGAGTGCACACATTCCCAGCTACAGTCACCAACAGGAAGCTACTTGGTACATGTATTGTGTGCTATATATTAGATATTGACTTTGAATACATTGTAAATTTTACTTTGATGAGCAATTTAAAACACTTTATTTCATTTGCTAAGTCAGCTGGATAAAGATAATATGATTACAGTGACTGTATGTAGCTCTTAAAGGCAGGAGGCTACTTACATAATGAGTTACCACAGAAAACTAAGTGTATATGTTAAATGTGTATTTATTAGGTAAAATGGTGATCCATTTACAGAAAGTCTTATTGGGTACAGGAGTAACAGGCCAGAAACTACATTTTTGTACCCCTGGCCAGAATGGTCTTAATGGAAACACAACATCTTTTCCTAGGCCTAAGCGATATTGGCCCCCATCTTAGTTGATTGTCATCTGGTGGGATTGTAGTTGTTACAACCAAATATAATCCATAACTGTTACATTACAGGGATGATGGGGAGAGGAGTCCCCCTTCCTCACACCCTCTAAGTGAGAGGTCTCAGAGCTCTCATTTATCCAGTCAGGGACAGAAAACATACTGGTATACATGTTGTCTCTCACTCTCTGGTGCTCTTTGGTGTTGGCTGTCCCAAGAACAACCAAAATATTCACAGAAAACTGCATGCTGTATACTTTATATAATATGATATTAATATATAAACCTATCTGGTTAATCCAAACTATAAGATGAGGCTATGAATTGTTCTTTAAAAGAATGATATGCAAAGTAATTGATTGTACACTTCATAATCTATAACTAGTATAAGGTCGGACGTTTTGGGAAAATTTTTTCCTTATCTGACAGATGTTTCTAAGATTTTTGATGCTTTGTTGCTCCCTTGTTGGCATTGATCAAATGGAAATTTGTACAATGTTAGGGATGGTGGTGATGAGGGATTCAGCCCTCCAGATGTTCCTCCATTTGCTAGTAGAGCTCACAGCTTCAACCAGCCCAGTGGACAGCACTGGTAATGTGTTACCTATCTTGAGAAAAACTAGAAACAGAAGTGGTGGTGGTGGTGGTGGTTAGAATCAGACTGTATACCCATAGAGCATGCATGTGCATATTTGCATGTATAGATGCCTCAGTTGAACAGTCTTACAACATGTATCTACAGGTGTATGTGAGGTTACCCTGTCCTTGGTGCTGAAATCCTGGTTTGACAATGTAGCGTTACATGACTATGTCAGACCAAGTGCCTTATTTCGTCACTCTGTCTCCTATAGATATTTCTTCTTCTTCTTCCTTACTGCTTAGCCTTATTACTGGGTTTATTAGCAGGTTGTGCATGTGTTAGTATCAGGTGTCCAGGACATAGTAGTAAATGTAAGGCTATCCTGTCCTTGGTGCTGAACTCCTGGTTTGATAGTACTGTGTTACATGGCTATGTCAGACTCTGTTTTCTTGACCAACCTTTCTTACTTGGACACTGTGTGTCTCTTCTGCTCTAGATCTTTCCTCTTCTTCCTCCTTACTGCTTAACTCAATCACTGGGTTGATAAGACATACAAATGTAAGGCTATCCTGTCCTTGGTGCTGAACTCCTGGTTTGTTAGTGCAGTGTTACATGGCTACATGTATGTCTGTAGTTTTGACCAACCTTTCTTACATGGACACTATGTGTCTCTTCTGCTCTAGATCATTCCTCTTCTTCTTCCTTCCTTCTGCTTGTCTCCATTACTGGGTTTATAAGCAGGTTCTGCATAACTTAGTAACAGGTGTCTAGGACATACAAATGTAAGGCTATCCTGTCCTTGGTGCTGAACTCCTGGTTTGACAATGCAGTGTTACATTTCTATGTCTGTATTCTATACCAACCTTCCTTACTTGGTCAGTGTGTGTCTCTTCTGCTTTAGATCTCTCTTCTTTTTCTTCCTTACTGCTTAGCTCCATCACTGGGTTTATAAGCAGGTTGTGCATGTGTTAGTATCATCAGCAGGTGTCCAGGACATATAAACATAAGGAAAGAAAAGGATATTGGAGAGAATAAAAATAACTGATTTTACAAACTCATCTTTCGCTTTTGATAGTCTTATCAGTCAATTCTTGGATCCTATATTTTGTTGTATTTAATCTTAAGTAACATTTTGGTGGTATTGTCTTTGCCTCTCTATCCTTCTCTGTAAGGCTGCTTTCAAAACATGGTGCACTCATAGAACCATGTCACTTATATAATGACCAAGGTTACAATTCAAATTTGCAGGGAGCTCACACAGAAGGATTTTTCCCAGCCTCATCCAGCAGCTGCCATGTCGGAACAAAGCATGTACAGCACACCCCCGCAGGGCCAATGGTACATTCTAACATGCACCTAAACATCCAATACACTTATCATTCATATCACTGTTACTTATCCATATGCAATTCCACATTTATTTTGTAGTCATTTGAATTTTTTTTCTCTACATGACTTTACATTGTATGTTTCTAGTACCTGTATCCTGATAAATTTAAAATTTACAGAATATCTTTTATTAATACATGAATTAAAAAATGACATTGTACCATGTACAGTTGCCATGCAATAAAGTTCTTCTATGTGACTTTTTGTACCAGCCCATACATGCATGACAATGGGGTTTTTGAATAAGAACACTTTACTTTCATTATAATAATCATTGCAATATCATGCTTACCACTACTAATAATTCTCTGTTATTGTTGTTATAGCCTGGGCTTGATGACCTTTCTTTTACAGGATTCCATTTCCTGCAAATGTTTCACATGACCAAACGGAAACATCTGCACAGCCTAGCAGATATCAGAGCATAGATGTACAGCCCCGGTAATTATTATCATTTAGTAATCATTATTAAGCATTAACATTCTCAACTTGTCAACTATCTTGTAGGGCATGCACAAAATTTTGCATGACAGCATGGGCTAACAAAAACGCAATCATTTTAGTTCTTCTTCAGCAAGGAAACTTGGCATGTCACCCTGTAATGTCATGTACATGTGTTGTGCATGGTAACTAACTATCCAGTATACAACTTTTGTTGAAACCAATTTTTAAACACTGTGACAGTTAAACTCACGTTGATGATGGTTAGGCATCCAGGTCAACAATATTTTCAAGACAATTCAAGCTCTAATAATACTAGATAAATAATCTTAGTTGCAGTTGTACATGTCTAATTATGTGCTTCTATGTGGTTGTGCCCTGTACGTAAGTAACTGCGCCCCCCTCCCCCACTCTTGTAACATTTTCTGTCTAGTGCAAGCATGTTCATGCCATAGCCAGGATTTTGAATGGGGGGGTTCTTCCCACTGCTTGAGGGACCAGCGAGTGCCGAAGCAGGGGGGTCTTGGGGCATGCTCCCCCAGAAAATTTTGAAAAATGAACCTTCTGAAAAAAATCATAGATAACTTTATATTCAATGATAGAGTAAGCAGTTTTTCTACAGTTCCAGCCATGCTGGTGATACGAATCAGTCGATCTTTAAAAGAAAAATCTTGGACCTTTAGATAAAAAATGGACCAAAAAGTGGACCTTTGAGCCTTGTGGCCGTCCGAACCCCCTGAACCCCCCTTGGCTACGGGCATGATGTTTAAAGCAATTTGAAGAATGATCCACACTGGAACTGTCAGGAGCTTGTCTCTGATTTCTTACCACACCTCTTTCCAGGGAGGATGTAGTCCAGAGGTCACCTGTTTCCTTTCCCCGACCAGCACGTTCCCACAGCCTACATGTGCCCATCTATGGCCCACAGTGGTAGTGCTAGTCCACTCATGTTCATTGTGGGGTGATGGCATAACAAATTGTCTCTAAGCCTAAGGCCATGTTGATTTGATTATATGGATGACATCCTCTGGGAACCCCGAAACTGATGTGAGCTTGCGAATAAAAAAAAGTTTGGCATAAAAAAAGTTTAGCAGCCTTCATTATCAAATCTACATGACTATATGTGCCACTGGTCATGAAGGTTGAACAAATGACTAAACACACGGCAAATAATAGACTCTTCATTTTCATTTCTTTACAATTTCCTCATTTCTTTTGGAATTGATTTTGGCATTCTACAACACTACTATAGTTTTCAAATATTTTTTTGGCAATTTACTGCATATACTTGCTCATTTTGCAGCTGCTTTGTACGATTTATAATATGGTCAGAAACGTTTTTTATTGGAAACGAACCAAAACTCATGCACGTATGGTTCCGTTAATGTCATCCATATAAAATCAACATGGCCTAACTTGTATGCAAGCATCTTCTTGCAAGCATCTTCTTTGGTGCAGTTTCTGTTATAAATGTGTTTCGGATGGCAAGGGCAGTGTCTACATGTTCATCATTATTCTGTCTTCTGGTTACTCAGTTCAATGCTCTTCGTCTTGTTAATTGTCTGTAATACCAGCTGATAATGTCTTGAGCCCATTAAGGTTCTTGATGGTGACTCCTCTGGCAATGCATCAGATTCTATGTTGCAGGTGGCTTTGTGAAAGCTGTCGGCTGTGAAAATAATTTAGTGTCTCAATCTGTCTTGTCCTTCCTTCTGGCTGTATATGGTGGTTACTGTCTGTCTGTAAGGTGCTGTGTTCTCGTTTTTGAGTCGAGCACTGGAAACTATAGACTGGCCTGATGGTGTATTCTTTCTTACTGAGTGTTATCTGGATACAAATCGTGTGTTCTGTGAATCTCAGGGACGAAGAAGAAGAAGAGACACCGCTCGAGGAATCGTTACCAGCGTACATGCCCCGCGGCGGGCACCGTCGCTCCAAACGGTAAACATAGATTTCTGCACGGCAACTGGTTCTTATTGCATGTAATAAAACATTACATCAACTGCTTACTGAAGTATTTTGTAGTTGCATGATGGTGAGGTTTAAAATCTAACTAAATTTCATATTTTCCACTTGAAATATCATGGCTTATTCAAATGTTATGCAAAGCCATTTCGCTTTACTGTAATCATTTTTGAATCATAATTATTATCAAAAGTTGTATCAAACTTCTGTTTAGGAAGGGAGGAGGCAGTCTCCTATGTGCATGTTTTCCGTTTGTTTCTGACTGGCTCCGTTGTAAGACCAAGAACAAACGTGGAGCAAAGAAATGGTAGATGGAATAACTGTTCTGTTTAGGTGATGCATTGTGGAGCATGGTATTAGACAGCCAGGGGAACCTTATGTAGGTGGGGAAGGGGGGCAAGGTTTGGCAGGTTGAAAGGAAATGTCTTTAAAATGCACACTTTATTTCACAACATAAGAGGTTTGGGAAATTATCATTTCATCACTCCTCAGCACATACATGTACGTGTACATGTACATGTAAAACCTTCCCTTCACTAAAAGTTCAAAGTCTGTTAATAGCACCTATGGGTTTTATGGTTCTCAGACACCTCTAATAGTACATGTAACATGGATTGAGGAAGATTTGCCAGGATGCTTTAGGAAGAGGGTCACTTTAGTGGTTGAACATATTCTTCTAGAACAGCAAAATCAAATCTACAATACTGGTAACTACTTTGTACCGTATAGTGTTTTTGGTAAGATCTCAGGTTGTTCTCTTTCTCCCATCTTATTTTAAAAGGTCTCCAAAGCAGGAAATTTTGTACATGTAAGTTCAGCTGAATGAAACGTTGCCAATGCTGAGAGTGCTGCATTGTGGGTTGCTTTGGCTAGTAGGTAGTTCTGTGACCATGGTGACTAGAGCAGCTCTACAGAACATGACATTGTACTATACAGCTTGCCAGACTGTCGTAAACATTATGTAGGGGCCCGTTGCAAAAAAATTAGCTGAGCAGGCTATGTTCAAATGCACCATTCAACATGCTAATAGCTTTATTCCTGACCATGACAAGTTGTCGGCGTTGAATATGAATTTTTGATATGTATCAGTCAGTGTGCAAAATACCTGGTTGCCCAGGTTCAATGCTGAATTTTAATTCAAATCATGCCCACTTGGCTTGCACCACTGTATCTGGCAGATGCTTTTTAATTTTAGGTATTAATGGCTATTACTAGTATCAGTTAACTAAAGGCTGTTAGAAATATTGTCAAAGGCTTATGTATGTAACATTACAGAACTTAATTTGAGGAAAGTAGCAAGTTATAGATGGGGCAACCTAAAATTCTGATGGCCTGGGTAACCTAATTTTTGGCATAGGTTGCCCACTGGGCAACCTGGTTCAAAAAAGTATTTTGTACACTGTTATCAACACATGGTGAAGTCAGGACTTTAGACTGCAATGCTGTGGAGAGGATCATACAATGTACAACTCAAGTACATTCTAGTAGCACTGCTAATCATATTAACTAGAACAGAACTCTATGCAAACAGCAAACAGTGATATAGTTTGTGTTCACCCCCTTCAATTTTCAGCGAGGCCGCCCAACCCTTGGTGTCCACCAAGCCTACAGTCAGGGACACCAGACGGAGCTCACAACGTCACAGCCGCAGTAGCAGGCCTACAAACATGCAAATGAGAAGCTTTAGCCCGCAACGGTATCAAAACTATTTCCTTGGTGACTGCATGAAGGTGAAATGCATGGGGGCTAAGGTTATATCAATGCTTGTAATAAATGTAGATCTTGCTTTCACAAAAAAGGTAACATTTTGTTGTTTTATCTCCGAGGGTAGTGCTGCGTACCTAAACCCACATTTAGGTTCAGGTCCGGATTTAAGTCCAGAGGTTTAGGTTCAGTTCCGAACTTGTGAGTGTGGCATATACAAAATTGCATGTTCGCAACCTTGCAATGTTGTCTTGGTGAATCTTTGGCCACATAACATGGAGGCCGATGCTTGATGATGCCTGATGGCAATGTTTTCTTCATTTTTGCAGCAAAGATTTTACGTGGTTTGGAAAGAAAAGGGGTATGTCAAATGGTCTTTCATGGTAATAAGTCCGGACTTGGTTCTTGACTTTTAGTTTTTTTTGGACTTGAAGCTAAACATTCTTACAAGTCCGGATCCAAGTCCAGTGAACCGGTACGCAGCACTATCAGAAGGTTGAACTGAATTATATTTTGGTACCTTTGTTTGATGTGTTAGTGATGAGGACAGGCTCCTCCTGGTGTCTGCGGAAGTCCTTCCTGTCCCAGACGAAGCCAGTACAGAAGCAAGCTCACCTCAAGTTGTGAAGGACAGACCAGAGAGATTCTCTCCGTCTAGACAAGAACCAGTGCCCAGCAAACCTAGTCCTTTGCAACAGAGACGTCTGAAGAAGGACAGTGGACTTAGTTCAGGCAACATGGCGGAAATGCAGACGAGACAAGAACCAGTGCCCAGCAAGTCTAGTCCTCAGCTCCCTGATGGAAATCAGAGACGTTTGAAGAAGGATGGTCGACTTAGTCCAGGCAACATGGCAGAATTGGAAATGAGACAAGAACCAGTGCCCAGCAAACCTAGCCCTTTGCTCTCTGGTGATGTAAAATCAAGACGCCAGGAAAAGAAGAGTGATCTGAGTCAGGGCAAGATCGCTGAAATGCAAACGAGACAAGAACCCGTACCCAGTAAACCTAGTCCTTTCCTCTCTGAAGAAAGAGCAAGAGCTCCGGAAAGAAAGAGTGAACTGAGTCCAGGCAAGATGCCCAAAACGCAGACAAGACAAGAACCACTGCCCAGTAAACCTACTCCCTTGCTCTCTGATGGAAGGAAGTTGGAAAGAAAGAGTGGACCGAGTCCAGGCAATGTTCTCGAAAGCAAAATCAGACCGGAACCAGTGACCAGTAAACCTAGTCCTCTGCTCTCTCATGGAAAACCCAGACATTTAGAGCTGAACAGCAGGCCAAGTCCTGGCAATGTGCCTGAAGATATGACGAGACAAGAACCAGGACACAGCAGATCTAGCCCTTTGCTGTTTCGTGGGAAACCAGGACATCAGGAGAAGAAGATTGGCATTAGTCCAGGCAAAATGCCTGAAATGATGAGACCAGAACAAACAAAAGGGTAGAGTTGGAATTTGCTTTTATTTCCTAATTGCTTATTTTGTACTGATGCCTGTGGCTTTTTTAAGGGGTCAAGGTTGCTTGGTGCTTACTAATTCTTCTAAATTCTTGTTATCAGAGAAATTAGAGTTACATGTATGTAAGTAGGACTTTTCATGTTGTGCACATTTAACTGCACAAGCATTTGTTAGTTATGGTCTGTAGTATCTTTTTCTTGGTAATACATACAATGTAGCCGCTTAAGAGTTTTTTGATGAAATTAATTCAATATTTTTATCTTCATTGAGTAAAAGCACTGTGCGTCATACTGGCTTTTTGCAGTTTCAGAGTTTCAGGCGATACTGATTTTGTAATAGAATAGGCTGCATTAGTCTGTGAGAGAAGTCAGCACTTGGCTGCTTTTAATTTTATTCCATAGGTGGACATGATAGTGCAGGCATGAGCTGGCTAAGATTTGGCTTGTATTTGCCAGTATATACAGCCGTATGTGCTACACATGTATGCAACCGTTTGCAACTATAAGACACAAGGGTACACTGCTTGGGTAACCAGTTTGGAGGCCCCACCAGCATCTTACATACTCTGTTGAGAAATTATTCTCCATGTAATTTAATTTTCTTTCTTCTCAACTGACTGTCACGTTTCTATCAGGGAAGAGCTGAATCCTGTGAACGTATCAGATGATGATGATGAAGTATTTGACACAGAACCGTTACGCACTCTCCACATCAGGTCACTTTCTCACTTCCTGTCAAATTTTAAGATGCATCAGTTTATTACCTCTGTGTATGGAGGTATTGTTTGGGGCATGTTTTCCTGACAGTGTGTGTGTTTGCTTAAATGTGTGTTTGAACGGTACGTGGGTGGGGGGAAACCCCAAACCACAGACCACAAAAAAGGAAGTTACTGTTGGTACCGGTCCCTGAAACTCAGGCCGGGAGCCAACAAGAATTAGGCAGAAAGTCTGATGCTTGGATTCCTAGTGGGAAAATGCATAGAGAGAAGTAGACAGAGAAATAATGAATAAATTAAAGAAGAACTTTGCAAAAACTCCAAACATTTCACAAAGGTATAAAATCACCAATTTCATGTGAGGAAAGAAATCTTTGTAACGCTACATGTATGTGATATTTTGTAGCAATAACTAGCACTGCCTGCTGTTTTTGTGTCCAATAAATAGCTGCAAAGCACGTTATAACGATTATGCAGCATGCCAATATATAGGAAACATCATGATACTGACTTCAGGTGGTCTTCCTTTTTCAGCGAGGACTCAGACAACGAACAGCATACACGTACACCCGAGCCCCCCTCCCCCATAGGGAGTGCCATTGATTTACATGTCTATAAGTCATCTGACGTTAAGTTTGGTTCCATGGAGTTCCCTCCACTGTCTGCCAGGTCTCAGAGTGTCCCAGCCATACCGGTCACACCTGTACCTGAACCACAGGGGTAAAATTATCGAATCTTTTTCTGGGATGATTTGAAGCCTGCAGTTGTTTTGTGGGAACTTTGTGTGGTAGAGTTTAGGTCTGCTGGTGTGGAGTGTAGTTTGCAGCATGGCATGGAACCAGAATCTGATGATGTACTTGCTCGTACATGTACATGTAGCTGACAGTACTAGTCATGGCCCTTATTTGCTTGCCATTTTTATTCTTGATAATAGGTGTCTTGTCGAAATTGATAGATCATATGCCTTACAAAAAAATGTACCTACATGTATACCTCACTTACCGGTAGTGCTGGATTCAAACTGTAGAATGGTCATTGAGGACCGTCTTTGCTTTTTGATAGATATTACATGTAGATATACCAGTACATTTTATGCTAAATGCTACAATAGCTGTTGCCATAAACTATAACTGCTTGCAAAAATGTTTCAAATATTTTGTCCCATTTGTACATGTTACCTCAAGATCTAGAGTATTACCTGGATGCATGAGCAAATGTGTCACCAACAAATGCCTATCATACTATCTTCTAGGAGACATACAGGGTCATCGGAGGATGTTGACCATCCCATCCCTTTCAGTGGCATGTCCCAGAGCGTGTCTCAGAGCGTTCTTAAGCACTATTTTTCGGACGAGTTCCTCGGGTAGATAAGTTTTTCTCCACTTGCGATTGTGGTGGCTACCTTGTAGTTGTAGCTATCGCAGGTGCTGCAGGTGCAGAACTGACCATTTATTATTGTTTCTGCATGTTCGTTTGCATTTAATTATCTCTCTTCTTGAACTACGCAGGTGCAGAAGGAGATATTATGTTGGCTTTTCGGCTACGGCTGTGCATGGATTTTCTGACATGTACTAGTAGCTATTATAAACTTTTAAGATGTCTTGGTTTGCTGTGGGTTTTCATTTCTTCAGAAATGTCCATCTCTTGTTATCTTTGCGTTAGTTTAGAGATACAGCGGTAGTGCTATCAGGTGAGAGGTCTTTAGACTTGAAAGTCCACCAAAAATATATGACACCTTTTTTTTTTAAGATTCAAAACAGTGGTCAGCATAGCAGCAGTACATAAAAAGAAATTACGGACCGCTGAATTGTGCTGACCTTACATAATACATGAAATAATTTTTTTACATGTATATTAACCCTTCCAATGTCACCAACCACCTATAGATTTCTAATTGGTCTTTCAGTGACATTTGAAGGGTTAAAAGAACTAGAGAAAAAGTAGTACCTAGAGCTTAGTACCTGTACTTCAGCCAAATGCAAAGCCATATTGCATGTTTCTGTCTCTTATAGGTGAGCTTGGCTGCAGATTGGAGACAAAGAAGATTCTGGGCTTTTCCAGGCTTTTGCTAGAATCTGTTGGTTTGCCACTCACACACTATTGTCACTGCCAATACTATGTGGTGTCGTGTGGTGTACATGCATTACTCAACTCACTTATGCCACCTTGCAGCATTAGCATGTACTGCAAACAGTGTCCAGTTTAATTCCGGAATTCCAGTTTAATTCCGGACTAATTCCCATATCTCAGCAACCTGACGTCTAGATGGGCTAATATTCTACGATATAGGTAAAAATGATGTAAGAAATATGTTGTAGCCATCGGTGACCCCTTGGGAATTAACCCAATTCTGCAGATTTTGCAGAATTAACCCAATTCATGCAGAATTCTGGCTCTAGTTCCCAGAATTCTGCAGAGTTGGGTTAATCTGCAGAATTCTGGGGACTGGAGCCAGAATTCTGCAGAGAATTCTGCAGAATTGGGTTAATTCCCAAGGGGTCACCGATGGCTACAACATATTTCTTACATCATTTTTACCTATATCGTAGAATATTAGCCCATCTAGACGTCAGGTTGCTGAGATATGGGAATTAGTCCGGAATTAAACTAGAATTCCGGAATTAAACTGGACCCTGTCTGCAGTAACTGTTGATGATAAGTTAACATCCCAGAACTGGGTCTATAGACATGACTGATGTGTTGCTTGAATTATAGGGAAGATTCTGAGGAGGAAGCAGCTTCGATTGAGTCAGTCTCCACTGTCGTGACCAGGTCACCGGTTAGCCCGGCATCCCCACAGTGGTAAATCTGTGCTTTTTGGTTGTGAAAAAATCATTCTTCAAAGGTACCCAAAGTAATTTCAGGGCAAAACTGGATTTTTCGTATCATATTCTGGTTTTTGCTATCTACTGCTGGTACCAAAAAATAAGGGCACCTCATGCAACTTGTTTTTGAGCTACAAGTATGAAATGATGAAGAAAATGTGCCAAGAAATGACAGAAAATGTCAATTTTCTCAGATTTCCTCATTCAGAATACATCTACATGTATTTTTTTGTATTGCTGCCCTGAAATAGCATTGGATGGCTTTAATACTGTTATCTCTCTCCACTGTTCTTGGTGCATGCTTCTATTCTTATGCTAACATATTCTTACTGTTCCAGGATAGAGCATGAGGTTTGGAGGTGTGGTTTCCATCTTTATCCTTTCATCACTAAGTCTTGAATGTCGAAATAACACTTCCTGCATGCCCCTCTTTTTTCCTGCTGATATCTGTGATTGATGTGATTCTTCAAGATTCATTATTACTGTAGATTCTCTATAACGGTTTATTCTGTCAGAACCATACTGTTTGACCTTGCAGCCCTGTCATCTCTGAAGGTCAAATTTTGTGATGAGGTTCTGTTTTGAAGGGATGACTGATAACTCACAATCATGTATAGGAAAAGCAGTAAAGCAAAAAGTCTATCAAAGCAAGAATTTTTCCCAATATATAGCATGAACTGCTTATGTCACAAGGGGGACATTTCAAATAAAATAATATCATTCTAGAACCAGCTTTTACTTGTGGTGTCCCCCCCTGGCAGATTTCTCGACGTGGGTAACTTTCATTTCTGTTCCTGACCTGCGCCGGTACAAGGAGTCTAAAGTTTATCGATACTTCGCTGAAGGATGGCTGTCCCCTGTTTCCTTCTGCCCAATTTCACCAGATAGCCAATTCTGACATCTGAGAGCAGAATGCAGACCATTGCAGTGATCTGCCAGGGGGGACATCACAAGCAAAAGCTGCGTTCTATTCCGGGTTCTAGAATGGCGTTCTATTTGAAATGTCCCGGGCCCTGTGACATAAGCAGTTCTGCAATCTGTGAAAGGTAAACTGGTCTATTACATAGTTATAAAGTTTGACTTGTTCCAACATAAGGAAGAAACTCAACATAAATTTTTGGCTGATCCCGTCAACCCTCATCACGCTTCCGACTACCGGAAAGTGATCAGTGATTGCATCACACATCTGATGAAGGTTGACGGGATCAACCGAAAATTTATGAGTTTCTTCCTTATGTTGGAACAAGTCGAACTCTATAACTATGGATTCTACCAACACAGATGAGCTTTCATTCGGTTTGGTCTATTTCATGTAAGATGTTTTCTGATTCTCAGGGAGGAGGGTGACCTGAGTCTGAGCCCCACTAGACCGCTACCTCTCGGCGCACGCTCACCAAACTACCTCCTGGACCGACAGAGTAAGTACCGACGGTCCGCCACGTTCAGCGAGGGCACGGAGAACCACGACCCCTCCTTCAGACTGGCACAGGAAACACGGGAGACGCTGAGGGAAGCCATGATGCGCGCCCGACAGGGCAGACGGGACAGGTCGCGGGAAAGGCCAAAGTCACTGCCTCCAGACACAGGCATACAGGGGTTCAGGACGGGCAGTGAGAGGGAAGAGAGGAGAGAAGGTAGGAGAAATATCTTATAGCATGAAATTTCTGTAAACTTCTGTTAAGATCTGCAAGCATGATGTTGCATGATGATTAATGATTAATTTCTTATGACATATACAACGTCATACAAATCTGTATCGGTATAGCCGGTATAACCGCCCTTTAGCATAACACACCAGCTTTGCAGGCACGCGGCGTGGCAGCAGCTGGCTACATTACACCAAATGACTAGTTACACCTAAACAGAGAATACGCCTAAATGTATACATGATTACACAATTTAGTGAATATATAAGCATGTTAAAAGTAAACTTTACCAACTCTCACATTTACACAACGCAATGTATTTGTGGAAAATGAAGTAATGTAGCGTCCAGCTGAATATGTGCTGTACATGTACATATCTTATTTGTTTTGGCCCTACAGTTAAAACATGGCCCTGTCGACATTTGCCCTAGAGGGAAATTTGAGTTCACACTCCGATAACCACAGATAAAGGGCAGTGTTGGGCCCAACAAGATTCTTACATTCTAATATGCAAACTACTCACGTCTTTGGACAAACTGCGTGTTTGTGAAAGGTTCCCAAGACATCTTTTTCTTGTGACCCCCTTCCTTATGTTTCTGAAAGTCTCATATTCACAGCTTTCAGGTAGGTAGAGATAGAATGTATAAGATTCAGGAGAATATATAGATGATTAGAAGTACCTTTTTTTAGTTAGAATGTCAGATTAGTGTGTGAGAAAGTGTTGAATGCTGCTTATAAACTGTGTCCCAGTTTCTGTGCTGGGACAAAATGCGTTCATGATGAAATGTGGTACATGCATGCATGTTGATTTAGCTCAGATTATTGGTAGTATTGGTGATAGCTGATGAAAATTGGATTTAATGATACCTGTACTGTATTTGAATTCTTGTCTAAGGCATGGAACCGTTGGAACGTAATGGTTTATGGAGTGCTGTCATGCTGAACTAAATTTGTCTTGGAAACACTTACATGCAGCTACTACATGTAGTTCAAATGATAAACAACTACATGTAATTTAAAAGTAAGACAGATTTTAAGACTTGACCGTTCGGGAACATTAATTTTATACATAGCAGAGTCTGTTTTCATTAAAATGATCTTTTGTAGTATGTTGCATGTAGTAAGTGTTCATGCATGCCTTGATCTCATTTGGGCCTTTTTCATACCCTCCTGTATTTTTAATGCACCGTAATGGTCTTGACACATTATTTTCATACATTTTGAATAGTCCCTTTACAGCTTAAACATGATATTTTTTTAATATTTGTATTAAAACTTTTTGTTCTATGTAAATGTCTTTCTTTAGGCGGTAACCACAGATTGTCAGATCAGGTCAGGATGGAAGTGGAGACGATCTCAGAAGCGTCAACGTCTGCGGAGAGTTCCCCTCAGAGATCCCTGCCCCCCAGACCCCCCTCCCAGCCTGAACTACCCCCTCAACACCCCTCACCTGACAGGGAAGTCATCGTCATCAATAAAGAAGCCCCCATCAAGGATTTCGTCCCGTCTAACTTGAGAAAACTGACGGGGGACATGTCATCCATGCCGGCGTTCCGCGTGGAGAGGGAAACCCGTCCGCGGGGGAGGAACGCGTCACGAGGTCCCCCTCCTCCGTACGAACAAGCCAAGATGGACGGAAGACACTCCTTCAAGAGCGTCCCAGAAGTTTCTAAGCTACCCATGGACGAAGTGGCAAGGAGGACTCGTCCGCTGACGGAACAGTTTTCTGCCAAGCTGGCCATATTTGAAGGAGGGTCGGAGAGCAATGTCATGAAAAGACCACCAAGGAAACATTTTGCAGAACGAGTTTCAGAACTTCAGGTTTCAGAACTTCAAGAGGTTAGTGTAAAAACTCTGGCAAAAGACGAGAGTATTGAAGAAGAAGAGTCCACTTTCCAAAGGGGGGTGGTAGGGAAAGGGGAAACAGATGATTCCACAATAAGGACAACGAGGTACGTGCACAGAATCTCACTCAGATTCAAGAAGGACAAGGAGAAATCCGAATCTGCAGGTGCAAACCAGGAGGGTGCCTCCCCCCAGGCTGCAGATTCAGCGCCTGCGAATGTGCTGCCAGCTTCAGTGTACCCGAGTAAACAAAGTTTCAGGAAGGAGTCGTCAGAAGTTGCTAAGCTGGAAGACATCCAAGACAGATTTGCGCCTGCTCGGACTGTTCCTCCCCCCAACCAGGAAAGGTTGGCCAGGGAAAAGACCAAACAGTTCACCAGGAGGATGGATCCTGTGGAAAATGTTATCACCCTGCAGCAGGAGCCCAGTTATTCTGGATCTCCCAACAAGGAAGTGAAACACGATATCTCACCTTTTCCTGAGCCGAGGGACTCCCTCAGAGAACCCAGGGTAGGTAAACACTGTATTCCTAAGTCTAAGATTGCATAACAACAGCCTATAGGTTGTCCCTTTAGTTGTAAAACCTGTAAGGAAAGAAATTAGTCGACTGTTCTGAAAAGGGGCGGGGACATGTCAGTTGTAATACTGCTGTATATGTTTTGTTGTAATTGGCACAGAGGTCCCAGTTGAATACACCTTGCAAATTGCAGTAGCTTTCTGTCCTTTTGGAATACTATATGCAATTGTCATGTTGTGCAAAACATAGGTTTTCTAAAAACAGAAAAGTAAGAGCTAAGTAGCACACACTAAATGAGTTAGAGATTGCTGGCATGTTTTACAAGTGGGCAAAAGTCAACATGCAGCAGCACAGCAAACAGAGCAGAACACCATGACCCCTGGTTATGGGAAAGGTCACAGGCATTGTTTAACTTCTTTGATGCAAGCTTCACCACTGGTAAATGTGCGAGTGAAAAATGTCCACCAAAGTAGACAAAATTGGTGCCTGGTTGACCTAATTTCCAGCTCTAAGTTGTTTATAAACGTGGTGACAGACGTTTGTACAAAAACAGTACCCTGTGATTTAGTGTAAACATGTGTGACCTCACTTGGAAATTTGTTGGAGACATTAGAAAGTGGGAAACATAACAGTGTGCAATATTTAGTGTGCATTATATATTTGAGGTTTTCAATGGACTCTCTACATGTTTTACTTGTAACCCTATAGCTATATTTTTTACATGTTTACCAAAAAATTTCTAAACAGGAGTTGAGAAATATCTGATGCTAGCAGGGTCATTTGAACTTGTGAAAACTTGTTGAAACTTGCAGTTGCAAAAGGTTTTGGGCTCATTGACATATTGTCACAGTGATACTATACAGTTACAAGAGATATTCACAGTTGTCATTTACATGTACATGTAGTACAAATGTACATATACATGTTGTATATGCTTCTTTACAGTTTACAATGTTGCACAATGATTTTAGAGCAAAAAGCTGAATTTTGATTTTGTTTGAGAATTACTTGTACATGTAACATCCGTGTCCATAATATCACCAGGGTCCATAATATCGCCACCTTCAGAAATAGTGTGCTTGAAGAAATTTTACTGCAACATACTTTTGGTATGTACTCCTGCACACCTCAAATGTACATACCTAGTGTATGTTGCAGTAAAAATATCTTTAAGCACACTGTTTCTCAAGGTGGCAATATTATGGACCCTGGTGATATTATGGACACAGATGTTACACATGTATTTGATAACACTGGCAATTGTATCTCATTAGTTGTACATACTTTATTTACACATTGACAAATATGTACAGCTGTCACCATTGCCTTTATAAAGCATTGATCTTTGACGTCTGCATGTGAAAAAACCATTAAGTCCAATCCTTAATTTGGCTGTTTGCCAACATTCTTTATGAAACCTTTTTTGTTCTGTCCCAACATTTTTCTGAGGCAACTCATTTTTGGCTCATTTGCGGCTGTTACCGCATTTGTTCTGCTTTTGGGGAGCTTTGAATATTTTCTGCTCAGGCTGAGGAAAAAAAAATATTGTTCCTGTTTCCCAACCGAGCCTTGAAAACACTTCCGGCTTTTTTTTGGGTGGACCCTTGCAACGGACATAAATTTTTCAAGCTGATCAACCTTTTCTTGCTCCATGATCTAACAAGTGAGTGATGAAACACTATTGTACAATTAGTTTTCCAACATTGGCATTGAAAATATTATCCTAAATATAATATAGTGTCCTCCTAATATAATATAGTGTCCTCATGCAAGGTTTACTTTGTTAAACTGTAATGTATAAGTTCGATCACTAGAGACTAGGCAAAGTCTAATAAAAAAAAGAAACAAAAAAAGAATCCCTACCTACCGACTCAAATTTTTTCAGTACTGAAACAGGAAACACAACATTTTTTTTCCTAGGCCCATAACTTGTTTCTAGACACAGTTCCTCTTTAAACCCAGGGGCTTTCCCATATGGTTTATCTCATTTTTCAGTAGGCCCACATGATGGGTGGACTTTCCTCTACATAATCTCTTTGTCAAATCTGTTATCTTCTTGTTCATACATTCTCTAGACCAGCGCACCAGCACAGAAGCAGGAAGTGTCCCCAAAGTCTCCCACTACACCAGGAAGGTAAGAATGGTGCTGATTCATGCTTTTCTGTTGTGTAACATGTACTTGTATATCCTGTATGTGTCTCTTTGCTATATAGTAAATTAGTATATGACACAAAGGGGCGTGCTGAATTTTGATACTGGATTGTTTGAATACATGTAGAAGCAAGGTTTGGATGAGAATATAAAGATACATGATACAATTTTTTTAATACGATGACATGATACAATGTAACATCTGTGTCCATAATATCACCAGGGTCGATAATATCGCCACCTTGAGAAATAGTGTGCTTAAGTTAAAGATATTTTTACTGCAACATACCCTAGGTACATGTATGTACATTGATGTGTGAAGGAGTAAAAATATCTTTAACTGTTTTAAGCACACTGTTTCTCAAGCTGGTGATATTATGAACCCTGGTGATATTATGGACACAGATGTTATATCCTGTATGTGTGTCTTTGCCATATGATACAAAGGGACATGCTGGATTTTCATACTGGATTGTTTGAATACATGTAGAAGCAAGGTTTGGATGAGAATATAAAAATACATGAACCAATGTAAGTAGGTGTATTAAGAATTTGCTAAATCTTTCGCACCAAAGAATAAAATTTATATGGTACAAATTTACAAATTTTAATGGATTTAACTTAAGTATGAGTCACACCTATTACATGTAATTTTCTATGATAAAGTGTGTTTTGTACACTTTTTTAATAGCTGTTTTGTATTGAGCAAGAGAAAGGTTAATTTTTCATTATCCTGTCAATTTTCTAGTCAAACAATCTAATCTAATCTAACCAAGAAGGATTTAATTTGTTAAACTCTGCAGATGATTATTTCTTTTTGACATTTCAGTGAAAAATTTCTAGAAGATATACAATTTTTAGTTCAATCTAACACATTTTCTTATATCAATACTTGTTATTATCAACATGTATATTTAAAATTTTCTGCCAAGCTTGAAGGCAATGGCATAAGAGAGTAAAGGCAAAAACTGAAACTTTTTAGTGGAAGTTGTCATTTCTGTTTCAGCTGTTTACATGTACTTGACTGTACCATGTCTATTTCCTATGATATCAGTGGTATGTTATGTCGATCACAAATGGTCTCTCCTTTCTCCCCTTTCACAGCTACTCAGTGACCATAGTTGGAGGGGTGCCAGTCCGAATTGGAAGTACATCACAGGTACAGCAGAATATGGTAGGGCAGTCTTTACAGTCTTTACTGTGATTATAACCAAAATTAGTGTAAACAGGTCTCTGTGCATATCAACACATTTTACCATAATGACAGTTGATTACAAACAAAGACTGTACATGTCAAAAATGCATCCTCTATGTATAAGATTACCGGTAATTATGATAAAGTGGTCTAAAAACAAACTAAGGTATTGCTTGATTATTTTTCAGTTAATATGTATTTTCCAGCAACAAAATTAAACAGTGTTTCTGTTTGTCAGTAATAAAAGATCATTGTAATGCTTTGAGAAACAGCGAGTTAAAGTACAACACTTACATGTACTATAGGTGATTTTGAATTAAGTTTTAAAATCTTGAATTACACCTTATTAGAGTTGTAGGTTTAGAGAGCATAAAAGTACAGGTCATTGCTTTTGTTAGCAGTACTAGTTGAAGTACTGGTTCACCTATTTTTAGATTGCAACATTCACAACAGAAAGTCTTCTGTTACACATGCTGTGTCTCTTCCACTGTATCTTTTCATGTGTTCTTCTTCTCCTGTTCTCCATGTGTGTTTGTTGCACATTTTCTGTGCCATTACTTTAGAACACAGCCAAGAACCCTTTCTGCAGTTGTCTCTCTCCTTCCTACTCCAGAGTGTCCTTCCAAATGGTGGGCAGTCATGTACAAATGTAGTTGTACATGCATGTCTTCTTAATGTTTTCTGTGTAAAATTCATACCATTTTACACTCAACACACACTGTGCATGTACAATTGTTACATGCTTTTTCTGCAATATTCTGTGATACTGGTTATGATACTTTAGTATAACAAATTGCTTTTGTTCGAAAGCAGAATGAACAAACTTTGAATAGTAAGGAGGTGTAAGATTTCATGAAAAATTGATTAGTGTTAGGCCTAGGAAAAAAAATGTTGTGTTTCCTGTTTCAGTCATGAAAAAAGTTAGGGTCGATAGGTAGGGATTATCTTTTTTTTTCTTTGAAATTCTTGTTTTAGACTTTAGCAATCTCTAGTGATCCAACTTATACAAAAGTTTAACAAATTAAAACTTGCACAGGGAGACTTTCATTTTCAATGTCAATGTTGGAAAAGCGATAGTACAATATTTCATCACTCAATTGTCAAATCATGGAGCTAGAAAAAGTCGATCAGCTCAAAAAATTTATGCTCCAAAAAAAGGCTAGGGTTGGCAGTTTTTTCCACGGTCGGTCGGGAAACGGAAAACACAACATTTTTTTTCCTAGGCCTTATGAATGATTGACAGGACTTGTCATGTTAATTGTCAGTTTTATGTTGACCAGCCGCCTCCAGATCCACCTGTTCAGAGGAGACAAAAGAACAAGGTCACGGGCACTCAAAAATGTAAGTACATCTTAAATGTGACATGTACATGTAGGACAGTGAATTTACCAGCATCATCTTTGTTGGGCACTCAGAATTGTAAGTTCAGTACAATGTCTTCTTTCTTTAGCCATACAACAGCCTTTAGCACGCATCCTATGTGTAACTTTCAACATGTATATTACAATGTATTAATCCAGCTAATAATGTGTACTACAATGTACAAATGTATAATCTGTATGCCCTTTTTTTATAGTGATTATATGTAGATGTGATTGCATTGTGTTTTGTTTGAAAGTGTACCTTGTGGAATTTATCAAATCCCTCAAAGAAGGAAAGAAGAAGAAAGGTCTGAATGACTTTTCACAATTAAGGCCACACCAATTTAATTTCTTGGTTAACGGATTCGGCCACTTCATTTTTTTCTGATATGTAAATAAAGATAAAAATTCAGAATCAACTGCAAAATGCTCATATTTTGTCCTGAACAGTTGAAAACAGTCCTTTTCATCCTAGTTGTTACAGTTATTCCATCTTTTAATGCAGTCACTGTGGTCTCATTAAAAGTTCAAAATTCATTGTTTAAATTTTGAACCAGCCTGGAGTGTTGACTTCATGGCTCCTATTGTACCATTTTGGGCCATATATAGTAGGATGCCTACGCCTGTTTTTATTTTTATTTTGTCCGCCCGCTCCATTATTTTTCTAGAAAAATCCGTTAACCAAGAAATTGAATTGGTGTGGCCCAAAGGTTCATGACATTTTTGCTCCATGTTTTCCAGACTCGAGGAGAAGAATGTCTTGTAAGGACCTGGGAAATGGAGACTGCCAAGGCTGGCTGTGGAAGAAGAAGGACCAGAAGAAGTTATTTGGACTGAAGTGGAAGAAACTGTGGTTTGTGCTGAAGAAGTTCTCCCTCTACTACTACGCTGGTCCGGAGGTAAGTAGTAAGGTTCACAGGTGGTCAAATAATGTGGTTTTATTCAAATGAAAGCCCATCTGTGTTGGTGGAATTCATACATGTACACAAATGTAGTTGTAGAGTCTAAGCTTTGTTCCAACACAAGAACTGTCTTTCTGCCACTTTTGATTCACTCCTGACGTCATCATGCTTCCAACTTCCATAGAGTCAGCAAGTGGATCATACATCTGACAAAGGTTGATAAAATTAATGGCAAATTTATGGTGAATTCCTTTCTTGTGTTGGAACAAAGCATATACATGTAAACACTTCAACCAGGGTTTTTTCTAAACAGGGGAATAAGGGAGCTGCTCCCTCAGACCAATTTTCAGATTGAACCCTAAGTGGCCACTTTTTAAAAAGATCCCCCCTCGGTCGCTTTGTTCCTTGTCATGCTTGCGATCTGCTCCCTCATGCTAAATTTTTCTGGAAAAAAACCTGCTTCAACTATTACATTGTTGTGTTTTTGTTTACTTCATATATTTGAATTTCCAACATTCAGAAGGTACATTTGTAAATGTGTAATCATATTTGACTGTTTGGATTCTTAGGAAAAATGCAAGTGCATTATATTTGTTCAAAGTACACAAAAAAGTACAACAAAGGGAAAATGTACTAAAAGTTATATTAAGGTGAAATGATTTGACAACATTAGTATAGATCATCACATTTCTAGATTAATCTGTTGGTTGGTACCATTCTATACACATAACACTTAACAATGTGTATTCTTTTGATGATCAGTTGTAGAAAAACGTTGTCTTGAATTTCTGACATTCTGTCTTTTCAGGCTCTGAAAGCTGAAGGAATCATCAACCTACCTGAATACTCTGTGGTCTATGCTACTGACACCGAATGTGGCAGGAAATTGTAAATAAAACTCCATCCCTAAACTCTTTAAATTCTTTATGAAACAACTTAAAAGAGCAAATATTTGTGTTATTTTCCAATAGATTATTAATATATCAATGAATACATAATCAGTAGACGTTTTGCAGGATTCCACTAGACAAGTGCAAGATGTGTTTTGAAAAACAATATCAGTATCACTGCTCTTTTTTGTGGGGCAACTACATGTATAGATAAATACAATCATATCAAACCCAAAAGTAGTATGTACTAGTACAAATGTACAATGTATGTGCTCGTCTTTGCTTTTCTAACAAATCTGTTCTTACTTGACATGTCATTGAATTTTCCAGTGGAATAAAAGCCTCCCATTCAGAAATCAAGACCTTCTTTTTTGCAACAGACAGTAAAGAGGACCGTGATAGGTATGTATTAAGTATGACATACTTTTAGCTGGTCTTTTTTCATGTAAGTTCATTCAGCAGAGTGCCTGTGAAGCTGTTGTGTTACGCCAAATGGCAGTTATACTGGCTATACCAATACAGGTAGTAGATAGAGACACAGACTTTAATATTAAATACTAGATTAAACACAAGTTTTATGAGCTGGACATTGTCTGTATGTTTCAGATGGCTGAACAAGCTGCAGCTGGCATCTATCCAGTATGACAGACAGAGTATCCACGACGAGTCTCTCAATATTCTGGAGCTGGCTAAGCAGTGTCCAGCCATCGTAGGTGAGTGGGAGAGAAACTTATTAACCTTCACCCTATTGCCTAACCCCGTACGTATTGATGGAGAATCAGTAGCCAAACAGCTACTTCAGTGTGCTAAAGGTTAAGTTTACATGTGTTGCACCTCTGAGTTACAGATACCATCTTGTGATTGATTTGACTTATGTCGAGTCCTGGTGTCTCTGGCCTTGAGTCAAAATGGCTGACCAACACTCTCTAGATCTGTCTTCCATCACTTGGCCCAAACAGTCCACCTCCAGGCCAGTGTCTCTCCTGAGGCAGTCTATGTGATTAGTACATGTACATATTAACATACAATATGTAATGATACAATATAATATTATGTTGTAGTGTTGTGTCCAACTGTTAGCTGGTTGGAATTTGCACGTGTGCTGTCACAATATCACAGCTGCTTGTCACTTGGATATTTCCATGTTTAGCTTACTGTGAACTATGTATCGTGTGTGGTTAATCATAGATGTACAAAAGTATGGTGTAGTAGGTAATATAAATGGTGTTTTCACAAAAAAGGACCTTTATATTGTGTTACAATGAGAAAGATGCCACCTCTTTTCTGGCCATTGCCCAATACAGGTGTCACCTAAATGCTACATGCTAGAGCACAAAATTTATGTAACAATGACATGTACTATCCACACTCCTGATACATTGTACATGTACATGATGTACATTTTAAAGAACCCAAATTTGTACTGTTCCCATTAACAGAGGACTATTCAGCAGAGCAACATCTGCCTAATTGTGTTCCCAGGGGAGCTTGTGATGGATACTGTCTGTGTACTTAATCTTATTTGTATTGAATCCCCATTAGAAACACTGTAACATGCTCATACATGTGACCAGACTACATTTCAGCCGTCTCAGGATGGCATGCACATTTTTGCATTCTTCATTTCAACAAAACAATCATCTTGCTGATATCCCAATTCACTGAGTGCATTTCAGTTGGCTGGATAAAATTTCAGGGATTCAGCATATAATTGTGACATCCTACGAATCTCAACCATGTTCCCAAATCATATTTTCAGCCCTACAGTACGGTAGCTGGCACATGTACAAATGCACAGTCATGTAATTATGTGATAACCATCACGATAAGGGGGCCTGCATGCCCTTTTTTGTACATGTAAGGCGTACTCAGGCCTTTTTAGTCTTCGTAATCCGTAAGCAGCCTCCCGAAAAATCAACGTTATTTGTAATAGTATATTATCTGCAAAGCGTAAAGTCGTAATCAGCTCTGAGAATTTAACGTAATTCGTAATTGACAGCGAAAATTTTGCATAATTCTTAATCACTACCCCCCAAGCAGGCCCTACTATAACCTCCTTGGCAAGACATATCATCCAAGTGCTAGAACCTTATAATTACCTTTCTCATCCTGTATTCTCTTCACGCAGAGGGCTTCGGTTACTACAGCGAGAGTGATGAAGAAAGTGAGCCTCCGTCCCCGAATCCTGTAAGTCCTACCAAAAGAGAAGAGAAGGAGGGTTCCCCCGAGCGCCCAGTGTTTGATGACAGCCCTGTTGTCAGCCCCCCTCCCACCAGTGCACCGGTTAGAACCAGTATGAAGCGGGAACAGAAGAGGAAGCCCAGCTACCTGGCAGCGGTGGATGGCGTGAACGGGACCAAGAAGAGCCCTCCCCCGGAGAAGAGACCCTCGTATGAGCCTCCAAAACCCACGTGTGAGCCTCCAAGACCCACGTATGAGCCTCCAAGACCTCCGTCCAACCCTTCAAGACCGACGTATGAGCCTCAAAAACCCACGTATGAGCCTCCAAGACCCACATACGAACCTCCAAAACCCAAGTACAACCCTCCAAGACCGCCGTCCAACCCTCCAGGTATGAATGTGCAGCATAGATTTTCTGCTTTTCAGTTCTGTAATTAACTGGTATAAACTGGGGTTTATAAATAAGTTTTTTTGCAGTACTGTACCGGTATACAGAACCAGTATGCAGCCCTACTTACACCCCTTCCCCCTAACATTTCCTCACTCCAGTGTCACCAGATCAATGGGGCCAGTCTTCCACCACCAGCAGTGACTCAGAGTGCACCCACGTCACCCCCATCTCCTCAACATCTTCCTCCTCCTCTACCGCCTCCTCACCCATGCTGGTAGTGCCTCCGCCGCCACAGTTTGGCTCAGAGTCCACGGACGAGCTGAAGAACCTGTACCGACAGTCTTGGAGCGTCTTACAGGAGGAGAAGATGATTAAGATGCTGGAGTTTAGGCAAGAAAAGCTGACGGAGAAACAGGAGAAAGAGCTGAAGCTGCAGAAGCTCACAAGAGTGCTCAAGGTTTGATTGCAAAATGTCATCTGTATCTGTATCAGTATAGCCGGTATAACCGCCCTTTGGCATAACACACCAGCTTCGCAGGCACGCAGCACGGTGGCAGCTAGCTATATCACACCGAATGACTTGATACACTCAGTCTTTGCACATTTAATTCCAGGAGTTGTTTAAAGCTTTCTAGTTATGATGCCCAACTGTGCTTGGTGGCAACGAGTACCAGTCCACGATAGTGCTTGGGAAATACAAGTTTTTGAACAGCTCAATTTTTGCTTGATACTTGAAGGCATGACTGCTTCTTGTTCTTTTCTGGGCTGGTATCAGATACTTAGTGGTTGGTACGTCCACCAGTTTATTAGTCAAACAGCAGTCACAGGGATTCATGTGCATGTGTAACCCTTTGGAAAAGGAAAACACCCAGGATTAGACTTATTACATAGCTCTGTTTCTGTTGAACCGTTCTGGTCAGTGTAGCCAGCCAGAAATTGTTTTCTGTCTTCTTAATTTTGTTTGACATAAAATCATGTCCAAGGCCAAAGGTTTGAGGTGCATGACAATCCAAATGAGGTCCGGGGGCATGCTCCCCAGGAAAAATCTTGACCCTTCTGAAATGCTAGTTTCAACCTCTCAATGGTAAATTTTGCTAGTAGACTAAGCTAAGTTTAATGACAATTATCTGCCATATAGAACCTTTTCCCTTTGTTTTTGCTTTCCTCCAATACTGACAGAGCTTTGTGTTCAACACTATATGCAGGATAAAGAAGGCAACCTGGAGGCCATTGACAGACTCCTCTCCAGTCCACAACTCACATCCAAGGATGTCCAGGACTGGAAGGATCAGAATCAACACATACTGGAGGACGTAGAGAAGCACAAACAAGAGTCACAACATCCCCCAACATCCAGGCCCAACTCCCAGTCAGGACCGGTACCAAAACCACGGACTTCCATCCACAGAAATAGCCAAGGACCAATAGAGGAAATGACCCAGAGACTGAGCATCACCAAACGTCCACTAAGCACAGATTTGGACAGAATAGATCTAGAGAATGATGTGGGTATCAAGCCGCCACTCTCTGAGATAGATGATGATGAGGATGACAGTTATTCCAGTACAAGCCTTTAAAAAATTGAAACTACTGGTATTAGGCCACACCAATTTAATTTGTTGGTTCTCGGATTTTTCATGAAAAAATATAAAGCAAACATGTACAGGGTGAAAAAAAAATTAAAACAGATCTAGGCATCCTATTATAGCTCCAAATGCTACGATATGAGCCATGAAGTCAACACGAAAAGCTGGGTTAATGTTTAAAGAATGAATTTTGAACTTTTAATCACTGCATTGATAGATGGAAAAACTGTAACAATTAGGAAGAAAAGGATTTACCTTAACTGTTGGGGGCAAAATATAAGCCTTTTTTTTGTAAATCAGAAAGAAATGAAGAGGCGAATCCAAGAACCAATAAATTAAATTAGTGTGGCCTTAGCATGACTGTATATAGGAACTTCTAACTTATTGGCATGTCGAGGATGAAAGACATCAATTTTACTCAAAAAAGACAATTTTTACTAAGCCTGGGAGCTTAGGAAGTTTAGATTTTATTAGAAAACGCTAAAATATAAGAAAGAAAATATAGAGCTTAATTGAGCAATGGATCATTTACTTCCATAATACAAAAAAATGTATTATACTATTCCGAAAAAAGTTTCACATTATAGATCTAACAATTTTAATCTTGATAAAAAAAACTAAACGAGTACTATAATATCTGTAAATCTGTGCAACCAGATTGTAGAGTTTGTACATAGTTTTGCAGTTTTTTTATTAAAGTAAAGACCTGTCATTAATACTTCATTTTTTGTTATTGATGCATTTTATCATATTTGTAGAATGTGACTACATAGTTGTACATCTTTATGTATTTTGTAAATACTGAATATTAACATGTGTATCAGAAACTGAATTATCTTGCGAAATTTAAGGGTGTAAAGAATATATTAAACACTGGTGTTCAAAGTGCTTTGTGATATTATAAACATTTCCAGAGTTGTCTGAACTTAAATTGCTTATGATTTTAGCACAAAGAGTAACATATATGATTTTACAAATTATATTAATGTATGTGAATAGTCCGCATTTAATCCAATGTATTTTAGGTACTTTAATTATGAAAGAAGATGTTTGGTATCTTTGAGGGTTTTTTGAGAGCAAGTCTCAAAGCAAGACTAGGTTGTGTTGTAGGATGGTGTATAGTGTTAAAATGGTGTGGTGTCGGGAAAAATTGTTTGGTAGTTTGAATACGAATGGAGCAAACCATTGGTAATATGGGTGGTCTTGCGTGTGTCAACTACATTCTTTGTTACATGTATTCTGTAGCATTCTTTTCTTCTTACAAAAAATGGAACAAAAAAGGCTTTCCTTCCTTGTCAACACTATAACAATGATTGTATTATTTCTCTGACACTTAACGTTAGATGTTAAGAATATGTTGTGTACTACTATACATTCAACATATCTAAAATGTAAACCTACAAAAAATTTGGATGCACTGGTGCACCTAGAGAAATAGATTGGGTGCACAGCTCCAAATTTGGGTGCACTTACTAATAGGTGCACATGCATCCAGTATTTCGAGCCCTGATTTACCATACATTAGTTCCTCTTGTGGTTAGTCTGGCACATCAGGCAACAAGTTAGCATGCAAGAAAGACTTGACAAAAAAAATCAAAAATATTCTTTTTGTCCACAAAGACCCCCTCTGTTTCATCTTGGTTTCTTCCTACCAAACATTGGGTAAAGGGTGGTGGGTGTGGTTTTATATACTAGTACTGTGGCTCATGGAGGTTGAATAGAACCTGGTAAAGGGTTGAGGACTGAACAGTGAAGGATGGAAGGTTCAGTGTGTGTGTATCATGTGCCTGAAGTCCATTGGACCACGTAAACAATCGCAAGCCTATAGTGCCTGTTTTAATACACTCTATATTATGCCTTGTACTTTTAAATATATACATTTTGTACATGTATATTATACCAGATTGGTATGACAGGTTGCATGCCTTTTCATATTCATATGTTATCTCTTATTCATCAGTGATATTGAAGAAACATCATTATCGAAGTAAAAAAATCATGATCTCTGTTGTGAATGCCAACTTAGAGTTGATCACTTCGGCAAATTAACAAGCATTCCAGCAAATAGAAGACTGCTTTTTCATAACCATGTTGCAATTTTTTAATGTTTCAAGTTCAACCAATTGATGCTTACATTTATCCTGGAAGGAGTAGGGGCCAATTAAATACAATGTCTTTAATAGAAAAAAGAAGAAGACAAAGTTGGTGCTCAACATTTGAAGTGAACAAAATTGCATTCTGTCTCTTTTCCCTCTCTAGTCTTTCGAACAGTGCAAGCCCCAAAGATATGAAATCATAATGACCATATGGACTAGTAAGCCATCGTAAAAGATATCTGGTGAGACTATGAAAATAAGAGATCATTTGTTACAGTTGCCTTTAAACTTAAGTCACTATGAAGACCAAATGGACCAAGAATTGGAGTTTTTTTTAAAATTGGAGTTCAAACTCTGCTATAGCTGTCTACCTACTGTAAAAGATTTTAAAGGCACCCAATGCGATTTCAGAGCAGCAAAACTGGAAATATTATGAATAAGGCAATCTTTATGATATTGACACATACTGCTTCACATTAGCACGCATTTCAATCTCAGTATTTCATACTTTGGATATTTAAAACAGCAGAAACAAGCCCCAAGATGAGTCCTTTATTTTAGGGGAGGTACCCTAAAAATTAGCCAAGGGCCATTCCAGTAACAATTTTCTGTCAGAATTTTTGCTCCATTTGGTCAATATACATTGGGATAGTGTGGTTTCAACTCAGTATGTAGACTAAAATATTGACTTTGAAAAATCGGGTTTCCAAGCTCTAAAAACTGCACTGGATACCTTTAAAACACCTCTCCTTGAATTGCTACAGGACGTGTCTTGCCTCAGTAAATACCTGTATGCAGTCATGCCAGTAATGCAGATAACAAGTTAACAACTAAATAAAGACTTTTCCAGGATAGCACATTGACTGTGTACATGTACTATGTATACTAAGAAATAAAAACATCGTACAACAGACTTGGAAATCCTGTTTCAGTCTGGCTGATTCTGTTCTTTTTGTACAGTAAGATTTTACTAACCTTTGTTTACTATCTGCCACTGTTTGAAAACAAAAACCTGTGTTATTTTGTTCTGTACTGTAGTGTACTGTGTAAAAACATTTAGAAAAACTAATATATTTCATGGAGGTATGAGATCTCCGAATTCTTGTTAGTCCATATGCCGAGAACGTTTTTTGTACCACCGAGACGGACCAGTGCTACCATAGATTTTTTGAATCTGCAATAACCAAAGTTTATTTTGATGTATGATAGCAAGTCTGGATGAGTAGCTTTCTTGGTGTAATCACGTGGCAAAATGACGTCATCAAATTGGACCTCGTGCCTTGGGACTAAATCGGAAAAAATATCAAATACTAGTACATGTATCAATAATTCTAGGTGAAAATTGGTTTGTAGACAAAACATGCCACAGTTATCACAACACAATAGATTTTTTGCCGATATTCCGCATTTTTAGGAAGTTATACGCCTTTAAACTCCGATTTTGAGAGTAATTGTTTGTGTAAAAACTCATTGTTCACTTCCCAAAATCAGACATTTATTCAGGCTACCTATGGGGCCTTGTGTAACAAGTTATGATGATTGGCCATATTATGCGCTACTTTCCTACCAAAAATGGTTAATTCTAAAAGCCTACAGGTTATACCATTTATATAAGTCATAAGCGAACACCTGTGGTGTTTCTGTAATCTCCAAGCAGATCCCTCTCGGTGGCAAAAAGACAGTATCAAATTGGCCAGGCAGTATCCATTAGCCAGAGAAGGTCCGCGGCCACCGACGGGTGGGGGTCAGGACAAAAAAAACGGCCATATATAAAAATGTAACGATCATTCCCCCACAACCTATCTGCTTGGAGAGTAGTGTTTCTGCCACTGTAGCAATCTTTGAGCGCGTTCGCGAATGGTATTCTTTCAACAGTTTTCATTACAAAAATATAGCTAACCAGAGCTAACACCAGGAATGAACGAAGTAATCACGATTGATGAAAACAAACGCGAAATTCGTGGAGAAAGGAAGAAATCCTACCTCTATACTAGGCTTGCTGGTGCTTCGGGACCTGAACGAAACTATTCAAGTTAAATGTGCGCCTTTATTTGCTGTTGAAAATTGTTTTGTTGTTCGTTTTTGTGGAGAGAAATCCTGTTGTGTGTAATCGCGGCTAGCTTTCGAATGATACTGAATTCGAACATAAACAAAATTGCTGCTTAGCAACTGCTTGTTGCCGCACATTCGAATCTGTAAACAACCCTGTTGCTTAGCAATTGTTTGTTGTCACGGATTCAAATTTAACGGTCTTCTAGCGCAGTGTACGGGGACAATCAGACACGACTGATGAAAACAAACGCGCAAAACATGAAAAAAGAAAGAAAATCCTACCTATTCCAGGCCTACAGGTTCCCAAGGTGGTGAAAGAAACTATTTGTGTTAAGATTTGTGCCTTTATTTGCTATAAAAAGTGATTGTTCATTTCCTTCAAACCGTTCCTGTTGTGTGGGCGCCTTTCGTGTGAACGAAAGTAATCGATGAAAACAAACGCTCAATTCACGAAGAAAGAAAGAAAACCCTACCTCTTTAGGCTTGCTGGTGCTTCAGGACCTGAAACAAACTATTTATGTTAATGTGTGCCTTTATTTGCTGGTGAAAATTGTTTTGTTGTTAGTTTTCTTGGGAGAAATCCTGTTGTGTGACCGCCTCCTAACACGGCAAGTCTTCGAATGATACCGAATTCGAACATGTAAACAACTTTGCTTCTTAGCAACCACTTGTTGTCGCACATTCGAACCTGTAAGCAACCCTGTTGCTTAGCAATTGTTTGTTGTCGCGCATTCAAATTTAACGGTCTTCTAGCGCAACCAGCAGTGTACGGGGACAATCAGACACGACCGATGAAAACAAACGCGTAAAACATGAGGAAAGGAAAGAAAATCCTACCTCTTGACAGGTGCCCAGGTCCAGAAAATGATATATCTTAAATTTTTACCTTTATCTTGTTGTGTGACCGCCTAGCTCCTAGCACGGTCATTCCTCGGATGGTGCCGAATTTGAACCTGTAAACTACCTTGCTGCTTACCAACCGCTTGTTGTCGCGCATTCAAATTTGACCGGTCTTCTAACGCAGTAACGTCACACACTAATAACGAAACCAACCGATGAAAATAGGCGCACAAAACACGAAAAAAGTAAAGAAAATCCTAGATGTAAGGGCCTTAAGCTGTCTAAAGACATGATTTAAATGATTTATGTTAAATGTGTGGCTTTATTTACTATTGATAATTTAACGATCTTCTAGACTATCTCAGTACACACAGAGAACAAAACCGATCTCGAGCGATGAAAACAAGCGCGTAAAACACGAGTAAAGGAAAGAAAATCCTACCTCTTTTTGGGCCTACAGGTTCCCAAGGTCCTGAAAGAAATTATTTATGTTAAAATGTGTGCCTTTATTTGCTGTTGAAATGTGTTTTTTGTTTTGTTGATCCTTTTCTTGGGAGGCATCTTGTTTTGTGACCGTCATCTAGCACGGTCAGTCTTCGAATGATACCGAATTCGAACATAAACAACCCCTGTTGCTTAGCAACTGTATGTGACCTCAGATGACCCCAGGTGTGCCATTTGCTCTAGAACGTCTCACGCGAATCAAGAAGCCGGCAAAGCGCATTTGTCTATAAAATCTTGCTGCTTTGCAGCTGTTTGTTGTCGCGCATTCAAGTTGATTGAACGGTCTTCTACTTCTAGCGCAGCATACAGAAAACAAGAGTTCCACAATCTCATACCTTCGCCAAATAATGTTCACGTTTAGATGTACGAGGGTTGATCCAAAAGTTCTCGGCCTCTCCCAAAAAACGTCATGGCAGAAAATTTTTTCTTACACTATTTTTTAACATAGTCCCCTCTAACTTCATTGCACTTGGTCTCGCGATGTTCCAGCTTTCCTTTCCCTTGTGGAAGAATATTGCGTCTGAAGCCCTTAAAAATGCCTAAACCACACCAATGACGCCATCATCACCATCAAAACGTTGACCACGTAAGTGGAACTTGAGTTTGGGAAACAGGTAGAAGTCCGACGACGCTAGGTCAGGTGAATAGGAAGGGTGTTGTAAGACTTCAAAGCCACATTCGTTTGCTGCTGTCACTGACCCCCGTGCCGTGTGGACAGGTGCATTGTCAGCACGTCAACTCGGAGCTTTTCTCCCCTTTTCTCGCAACAAGGGCTTCAGACGCAATATTCTTCCTATGGTATGTTTTGTCTACAAACCAATTTTCACCTAGAATTATTGATATCGATGTTTGATATTTTTCCCGGCCCTTTGGATTTAGTTCCAAGGCACGAGGTCCTAATTTATTGTTTTATATTTTACTTTGATGCAGTCCTTTTATACATGTGTGTGATGGTGGCTGTGTATATGTGGTGTTCCCACGGAATCAAAATCATTTGTACAATGATTGAAAACTTTTATTTTTCAAAGATGTTAGAGTGACAAATGGATGATGTCATAGTTGGTAGCAAACTTTAATTAGCACAATATATTTGTCACTTCTTTTTAACAAGGTTTGTGATGTCAAAATTTGAAAATGTAGGAATCTTGTTTTGTCGGCCCGCCTTGTTTTTTTTTTTTTTTGCTCTATCGCATTAGACTTGGAGTCTGGAGGAATTGTCATCCATAAAATTTCATTGCTATGGCCTTATGTAGAATCAGATTTCACAATTTTTCAATGGAGGTATAAATTCTTCAACATTTGGACAACACTCAAATATACATCATAAACATTACTGGCCACATGTCAAAGTCACTATGTCCAGTTGAAGAAGTTGCTGTGCAGGGCAACACCAACAACATTATAAAAAATAAAATAGCCCAGGACAACTTGGGTGGTTCTTCTGAGTGTTTTCCAGTTGTGAATTTGCTGAAGAATTGGGTTATTTGGGTATGCAGCATTTTCAGATGTAGCAGGGTTTGTTTTGGAATGCTGAGGATCTTCTCTGGTGAGATGGGCTGCATACCAGTAGATAACAGGACTTGATGAAGCAAGGAACCTTGTCACTACCTGAAGGGAAAGACAGTAAAAATAATTGTCAGTACCTTGACAAAAATCTTTTTAAGGTACCTTAAAATTGAACAAATGTTTAAGATAAAAGTCACAAGCAAAATGCTCTGTTTCACTACTCGGGAAAACTACTGTAACATCTGTGTCCATAATATCACCAGGGTCCAAAATATCGCCACCTTGAGAAATAGTGTGCTTAAAGATATTTTTACTGCAACATACCCTAGGTATGTACATTTGATGTGTGAAGGAGTGCATACCAAAAGTATGTTGCAGTAAAATATCTTTAAGCACACTGTTTCTCAAGGTGGTGATATTATGCCCTTTATGGACCCTGGTGATATTACGGACACAGATGTTAACACATTTTGTGATACAAAATCAAATACATCTTTGCCTATGCACTTAACAGGTTAACAATTAGTAACGTGTTTCCCAACAAAGTCTTTGATTTTGAAGTGCAAATGCTCATGTCAAAAACATGTTCCCCACCTAAAATATGTATGTTTTCCCATTGAGAAGCCATGTGAATCTTGATTAAGAGTGGATAGTTTTAGTAAAACCAAGGACATTATTAAAATGATAATTTTACCATAAAATGTCAGAAAAATATCAATAGTTTTCCCACTCGCCTGTATGTGCATGTTGGTGACACCAAACAGCAGAAGAAAGCTCAGGTGGGCGATGTACACAAACACCTGAGGACTGTTGAAACCAGTTCTTGGTTTGTCATCACCCTCCTTCCTCTCAGCACCCAGCCCCAGTGTTCTACAGACATGCCAGTTGACTCTGCAGTAACTGTACACTGCAGATCCACATAGCGCTATGATTGGTGCAGCCAGGACAAAGTTTGGGATCTGTTTCAGCTGATAGTAGCGGAGGAATCCCACGTCCCAGAAGGAATCTTGTATGTAGGAGTATGCGCTGGGGACCGTCCAGTTACACCATGGGGGGATGGTAGTACTCCCCGGCGGTAAGTACTCCTCATTGTCTGTGGGAAATGCAGGATGCCACAATGCCAAAGCCTTCTCTCTTTTAAAGTCACTACAGTAGAGATAATACGCATGATACTGGAATGCTACAAAAGGTGCAAGGATAGCTACCATGTAACAAAGAGTTGATATCGATTTTAACAGCAGCAACAGTAAATCTTGGAAACTGAAGTCTGTTAGAGGGAGTCTTAATTTGGACGTCAGTTCTCTTGCTGTGAAGAATACAACAAAGCCACAGTTTACAATTCCGTTGGATCTGGTTGCACTTGATAACGCGAATAGTAGAGTTGCAGGTAGGTACAGTTTTCGCTCCATGGCCAGCATCCCGTAAAAGCTGACAAAGGTGAACAGCGATTCAGAGTACGCAGCTGTCATGAAGATACCGGCGGGGTTGATACAGAACAGCAGTGCTGTCCTCAGGGCCAGCTGTCTGTCATGTAGTGTCAGTACGGACAGCTTGAACAGCACGAATGTTGCTGCTACAAAGAACAGCACGTTCACAGCCACAGCTGTCACAAGTAGTGCGCTGTGGGCGTTCATGAAAAAGTGCAGCGGGAAAAGAACAGTTTCTGAGACAGTCTTCACAGTTGTTGGAAACAGCGGAAAGAAGGCAAAATGCTTCTGTATGGTGTAGCCGTGGTCTGCTATGTACAGGAAGTGTGCGGAGTCCCAGTGTGAGAAACCACCGAACACTACATCAATGAAGTGGTCACCAATTCCCACTGGATGTCTGACAGGGGGGTTGAAGACTCCGGCATCGTGGTCTGGTGTCAGATTGTTGCTGACCATCTGAAAAGACAGGAACATGTTACAACGGGCGTCACGAATTGCCCAGCTGAATGGGTCAGTGGTTGTGCGTTCGGTTGTGATGTGATACGTCCTGATTAATTATTTTCACCTGATGATGTACATCATCAGGTGAAAATAATTAGAAAAAAGCTAAAACTACTAGACTCATTTGAGCGATCGCCATGATGTCACGGCCCGCAACGTTTGTGTGATTAATGCCTACCAATAATTTGCATATGTCTTCAAATAATGATGTAAACAAAACAGCTATCGCTCATATGAGTCAATCATCTGGAAATCCCCATCCTCACCTGAATTTTGATTTGAACTAATGACAAGAAACAAGTACACACGTGACATAACACAAACATCAAAGCCATACACTGATGATGATGATACAGGTGTTTCAACCCCTTTGTATGATCAGGTGTACCCCCCCCCACCCTTAAGGTTCCAGGTAGCCTCAATGACTTCACATGACTTCAAACCTTTGCAGCGGGAAACCTAATAATCCCAGACATGCCAAATTTGGATACTAATGGATATAAATGTTTCTGAAGCATGAATATCATTTTATGCAAAATATTCTCCTTGCCTTGCAACTCTTTTTGTGAGTCTATCAAAGTTGCTGGAGTGCAACATGCCACCTATCGGCTTATGTACCTATGTAAGCTATAATTTACAAGAACAGATATCTGCCCAAACGTCTCACACCTGCCACAAGATGATCAGAATCCGTGAAAACACGGCAAACTTGACAACTTCTTCCTCCAAACGCAAACCTGCCATCCTCCAGTCCTGACCTCCAGTGACCTTTCCTGGCCAGTTCTCGCTATCTCTCGCGAGACCCGCACGAGAACTCATAATCAGCTAGGAAAACCCAAAGCAGCCCAAAAGGTAGGCAACTTTCTGCCGGTTTTTCACAATCTATCGATATTTTAGACGATGCATTTTAATCCCTACTGTCTTTAAAGCTTCTCTAATGAGCTAAAGATCGTAAGAATGTCGCAAAAGAACTCAAAATTTGCCATTTGTTTTTGTTTCTGACGTGCCTTTGTTTGGGTAATTTATGCATGGGGAGGGGGGCACGAGGTGCTAGCTCTAAAATTATGTTATTCTCTTTATCAGAAACAAGTGTAATTCTGCCATCTGTGGACCGCCCCAGCAGCCAAGATGAGGGAGAAGATGACAGAGAAGGAGTGTCCACTCCAGTTCCACGACTTCAAACCTGTAGACCACTCCAAACTCTGTCCACGCTTCACACAGAGTAAGTATCCGGCTCCTCACATCTGCTTAGACTGTTGTTGTTGTTGTTGTTGTTGTTGTGTTTACAATTTCTTCTACTTCTTCACAGGTCGTTTTTGTGCATCCTTCCCGAAGTTTTTGCTGCACTTCAGATCCTTTTGCAGGGCTCGAAATACCCACATGCAAAATTATGTGCAAAATGCACATGATTTTCAAGATTTGCACGTAACGTTAGTAATAATATTTCGCACCTAGAAAATACTATGTTTGCACTGTGCTCCCAGATCAGGAGGGGAGGGGGGCACGTTGCAGGGAAAGAAGCAAAAATTAACTATGTGTTTAATATTTTCTAAAAGCAGTATATTTTTTTAGATATCGTGCACAATAATTAAGGGAAACAATAAATTCTGCAAAATAAAAAAAATTTATTGCTCCCAGACTGGTAAGTGTTGGTAAATTTTCTTTACGTTCCGTATAAAATGTTTTTAATTTCGGGAAGGGAAGGAAGCTGTATGCTGTGGCAGGCTAAGAAGGTTAACACTCAGTAAAACAGTTACAGTATAATTTTGCACATAAATTTTTCAAATTGCACCGAAAATTTTTTTGTCAACGTGCTATTTTGCACATACCTGAAAAAAAGGATTTCAAGCCCTGTTTTGGCACCACAGTTTCATGGTGCAAGTCTTCTCTGAATCTCTACCAATCTTTTTTCTTGTCTTTTTGTTTTTCTTCTCTTGCTGCAGTGCTAGATTTTACATTTTAAGGTAATGAAAACCCACCAGTAGAACTTAACATTAATTTAATAAGTACAAAGTTGCTGTGTTTTCCTATGTGATGTTGGTACTGGTTGCCTCTATGTATTCAGAATCAGAGCAAAGGTGATACAAGTGTAGTGGACCAATGCTGCTTAAAACATTAAAAATATATGCATAGTTTCTTATACACTATGCAAGAAGTGTGTAAAAGAATCAAAACTGCATATTAGTATTGTTTCTTCTTTCCATATTGCATTTGTGTAAAGTATAAAACTATAATACACAAGAACAACTAGGTATATTTGCCTCTGAAGTAAAAAAAGGCATTATAATAATTTATATAGTAGACAGTGTACATTTTGTATGGTTCTTTTGAGACGCTGTAAAGATTACTTACTAGCTTCACTGGTTTGTAATAGCAGAAAATTTGCATTGAAGCATCATGTTCCTTCAGTTCTACATGTAGTGTGTGTGTGTGTGTTATGTGCATGTGTGTATGTTTGTGTGCGTATATGTTTGTGTGGGTGTGGTGCATGCTGTGTGTGTGTGTGTGTGTGTGTGTGTGTGTGAGTACAGGCACACAGACTTGTGTGTATGTGTGTGTATGTGTGTGACTGTGTGTGTGTGTGTGTGTGTGTGTGTGTACATGCATTTATATCTGCATCTCAGTATATTGAAGTCCTAATTATATATTGCTAATTGCTAAATACAATAATTCTGTTCAAGCAGCATTTTGACTCAAATATTAGATCAACAAGGTTCCATGTATCTCTCTAGTTCTGTCCAGAACAGAAGAAGAAGGTATAGGAGAAGAGGAACTGGACACCATCCAGTTGGAACTGGAGACCCTCCTGGCTTCTGTGTCCAAAAGGATGAGACAACTGGAGGGGGAAACACAAGTACTGATTGACTGGCAGGACAAGAAGGACAAGAAAGGCAGCATGGGGAAAGTGGTGGGTACAGGGCTGGGCTTATGCTTTTTTTTTTTGTTGCAGCCCTCCAGACTGCTCCCATTTTAGGAGCATATGCTCCCAAAAATTATCTTGTGCCCCTAGAATTTTTTAGCCTGGGTGCCAGACTGTCTCTAGGGCCTACACAGGCCAGTTCCTCTGCTCCAGGGTCAACATGCCCCCACCCAATGAAATTATACCACAGCCCCCCTCAGTTAGGCCCTGATTCACCTAGCGTGCTATGGATCTGGCATTCAGGCTTATAAATGTTTTGTCCTGAACAGTGTGCATAATGTGCATCATGGACTTCAAAGCTTAACTCAGCAACTGTCAGAAGATATTGTAAAGTCACTGTATATTTGCTTTCTTGCTCTGTAAATCTAATGATGATGCACCAATTTTTTGTGTTGGGAGCACCACTGCTTGTTGATGCCTCCACTTCCATTTGCAATGAAGTTAGGTTTGTTCAACTTTCTTTGTAAAGAAATGACCAGAAAATTTACTTTTTGTATCGTCCTAATGTTACATAGTGCCCTTTTAAATGCTGCAAAGCTGGTGTGTTACGCCGAAGGGCGGTCATACCATCTATACAGATACAGATACAAAAATGCTGTATATTGATCTCAAAATGACTTATCATTTTTCTTCAGCACAAGGACTCGGACCATCCCCACTCTGGGAAGCGAGGCAGGCCAGAGGAGAAGGCTTCTACTAAGAAGTTCAAGGGAGACACGGCAAGTACAAGTTCCAGTACAGGGAAGTGGGGAGCTTCAGCCTCCACCTCCCACTCCACCCCGTCATCCCACAGTCAGTCTGGTCCTGGCAGACCCAAGAGTAAACAGGCTAATATACAGGTGGGTATGGTTGGACACTATTTAAAATGTGTTGTACATGCATGTTTTATGTGCTCTTCATGTAAAATAGTGGTTTTATTTGGTGTAGTTTTCATACAGAACAGAGAATGATTCATTTGTCTTATCTGCATGCATGATTTACATGAACTTTGAAATAAGGAGAACTGATGTATGCATACATTTTGTCCAAGTATGTAAAATGTTGTCCAAGCATATATTTCCTTTGCAACGTGGTTGGTCGCAGGGCATAGCTCATAATTGTTTGTAACTGTGTTATTCCAACTACTGGAGGAAATGTTACTGTAGTGAATAGCAAGACTCAATCAGTAACTGGTAGATTACATCATTTACATGTGAATCTTGATACAAGTACTATCATTTAAGTTTATCTGTGTTGGTAGTTAAATGTTAAAACCTTTGTTTCAACAGAAAAGATTGTTCTCACCTAACATTAGAGCTTTGGACCAGACACTCTGGTCTTCTTTGATAGATTGACCCCTATATTGAAGGTCAGTCTATTGAAGAAGACCAGAGTGACTGCTTGAAAGCTCTAGGTGAGAACAATGTTTTGTGTCAAAACAAAAGTTTTAACTATAAGTCTAATCAAAGTTTCTTGATGTTAAGTTACATGGTAGCCAGATAAATTATAATTTTCTCTTGACGTTTCCAGCAAAAAATGCAGGAGTACGAGTTCACAGACGACCCCCTGGATGTGCCGCGTATTCCCAAGAACGACGCGCCCAACCGTTTCTGGCAGTCCCTGGAGCCGTACGTGGCAGACATCACCCACGACGACCTGAAGGTGCTGGAGGAACTGATGAAGCCAGTGGAGGAGGAATCCGAGTATTACAAGGTCCCCCCTCTAGGGAAACATTACACACACAGGTGGGCACAGGAGGACCTGCTGGAAGAACAGAAAGAAGGTAAGTGAACACTAGCACTGTATCTGATAATCCCAGACGCTCGCACTGCCAGATATAGGAGAAGTTTCCTTCAAACAACAGCAGTACTTTTTTTACATTCCAACATTTATCGCAAAACGTGGTGACAGCACACTCATGTTTTTTCGTCTGATTTTCATGCCGCCACCAACGTAGAAGACAAACACATGGATAGACAATAGACAGCACTCATTTTCACCTGAGTTAAGTGAGGAAAGCATGGCAGGATTCAAACTTGGGACCTCTTGGTTCTGAGCCAAACGTTCTGTCATTATGCCACACTACCCCACAGTAGAACTATGTGACAATCTTGCAGAGGCAATAGTTACCATTAGAGATAGGCAAGAGTTCAAATGTGAAGTTCTGTCCTTAGCACACACTGACAGCATTTTGTCTACCATTCATTGACAGTACAGCTGCTTAAATGCTGTACAAAAGTTGATGTTAATTTTTTTAAGTAGAAAGGAAATGGACATAATATCAGAACCAAAATTGAGCAGTCGATAATGAATAGACAGTTTTGAAACAGCTACATGTATGAGTGAGAAATTACTTGTAGGAATATCAAAGAAACCTTAATTCAGGGTGCCCAAGAGCATGGATATTTTTGTTTATTTGTTTGTTTGTTGATTGCACATATATGTGAAAAGATGATAGATGAACATTATGCCGGGGAGGCCTGATATAAATATGCAGGGAAAATGCTGGAACAAGAAAATGTGTGGAACAAGAAGTGGTGAATGAAATTGAAAAGAGAGGGAAAAAGGAATGAAGCTTGCTTGCATGTTTGCAACATCAGAATGATACTAAACCTTTTCGTTGGTCCCTGAGGTGCCAGAGTGAATGAGAAGGGCAAGTCCAAGTCTGCCCTGGGGGGGAGTTCCTCAGCTAACATCACAGAGACATCTGCCATGCTGAAGAAAGTGGACTCCAACTCACAGAAGTCGAGGTAGAGCTCTAATACTTGAACCATTGACTGTAAAAGCACGTTCTCATCACATACAACATAATCTTTGTAGATTAGTCTCGTAGTACCAGAAAATTGTTACTCAAAGATTCTGAAACAACTTGAAAGATTCTGAAAGAATGTCAGTTTTGAAGAAAATACAAGATAGTTCCTTGAGTAACATTTTTCTCGGGTATCTCATTACCTGAATGTGTAGTCTTTATCAACAAGTCTCGTAGTACATATTAAAGCAGTAGAATCATCAACTTTGTACCTTGTGCAATTGTTGCAATAAAGTTTATCAATATTTGTATTAAGACACATACTACGTGATTGTTCTTACTATATTAAATGCTTACTTCTGAGACTTGTGTGCTATATGGTAATGTGATTAACAGTGTATTGTGCATGTGGTCTACATTGTTGGTTTTTATACCATTTTTCCACACGGTATTCTTTTGACAAGAGGTGAAGTAGACGGTTCTTGAATCTGAAATCTGACTGTTTCCATTGTTGCTGTGATTAGGGACACAGAGACGACCTGTCCGTTTGGCCCCCTAACCCAGCGCCTGGTGTCAGCACTGGTAGAAGAGAACATCATGACTCCTATAGATGACACCTCTCTCATCGACAGCTCTACAAAGGTACGGACGTGTCCTTATCTTGTCATCCTTCCTTTGTATTCAGAGCTCACAGATATAGAAGCTGGCTGTGGTTGGTTGTTAGTTGGCAACGTCAGCTACTACTTGGCTGCTCCAGCCGAATGTTTCAAAATGTTTAAAACCTTGGGTGTGGACCGGAGGTTCGGCCATGGTTAGCTGGCATTCAGGGGTGGGTCAACAGTGTTTGGGTCATGCTCCGGGGTCTTATTTGACTCAAATTTAACTGAAATTTGACTTGATTCATATAGAAAAGTAGGCTTAAATCTGGTCTTCATCTTTGCCGGGGCTCAAAGAGGTTATGTGAGCCCCGGCTACACCCCCATATAGCCCCTGATGGGGCACTTTAGGGGGGGGAGGCCTTGGTCTAAGGCGGGCAGGCCTCCAGCCTGGCCCGGAAGGACTCAATGGTGGGAGCCATAACTACCGGGCCAGGCAAGGCGTTCCATTGGGGGATTGTGCGAGGGAAGAAGGAATATTTGTAAGTGTCTGTTCGTGCATGTATGGGTTGATATTTATATTGGTGGCTCCCTCGGGTACGCCCTTGGGCTGGCTTGAGCAGGTTGCTGGTGGGGATCTTAATGATATTATGGGTCAGTTTGTAAAAAGTTGTGAGGCGGGCCTTTCTCCTCCTTTCGGAGGAGTCACACTGCTCCTGAACATCAGCCAACCTTGGTTGTTTGGTGGTTGGGCGAAGGTTCTGATTGTCTAAGAGGGACATTAAGTCTGTTTGTGCCAAATACATACATTTGAAGTACCTTAGCATAGATAATTATAGACTACCTGATGTTCAAACCACATGGTCCAGTGTGATGACCATGTCTGTGTCCGTAGGGAGAGGGTCAGTCTGGTGAGGCCAGTTCCAGCTCCCCCCGCAGCAGCAGTAGTCGGCCCTTCAGTGTGCCACACACCAGGGCACTGGAGGCTCGCATCAGGGAGGAACTCATCAACCAGGGTAATGTTACCTACACACATACACACACACACACACCAGGGCACTGGAGGCACGCATCAGGGAGGAACTCATCAACCAGGGTAATGTTACCTACACACAACCACACATACACATACAACCACATATACACATACGTGTACACACTCACACACACTTACACTCACACACAGTCACACACACCAGGGCACTGGAGGCACGCATCAGGGAGGAACTCATCAACCAGGGTAATGTTTTATTAACACTGCTGTGTGTAAAAGGGACTGTAACACTTGCAACCACACACACACACATACACACACTGTCACTGGTAACATTAGCTTAAGTTAGATAACACTTCAACATGTGGGAATGATAACACATACACAAGAACAAAGGACACTACTTTACAAATTCTATTTGTAGTTTTATAGATCAATAGTACTAGTGGATAGATAGATAAATAGAGATACAGAGATAGAGACATGTAGAGCTACTTGAACACAGATTTTGTCATACTTTCTGTAGAAGGGATAATTTTCCCATTCTAAAATTTTCAAAAGGACAATAACAAAATGTTGACAGTTCCTATTCCTAGTGTCTAGGGCTGGGAAATAAGACGACACCATGTATTTTTGTCTAGTAGATGTAAAAACTTTAGCAAAGGTTCTTTAACAGGGGAAGGCACTTCAGTCCTTTAATCCTTGATGTTTTATGTCTTTAGGTTTGATAGGTTTAGGTTTATGTCTTTAGGTATAATTGTCTTCGTCAGAAGGACTATGAAATTGTCTCGCTGGAGTGTGGGGAACTGCGGATTTTGCGATATAACTCTGGAAGGCATGATTCGACGTCCATGATTTTTGGCAGGCAGATTACCGCTGTTAAGGCCGACGTCAAGTACAAGTTTTGGCTTCGTGGGGGGTCCGTGCGTCACGTTAGTGCACCTTTTGTGTTTGTGGCTTGTTAGCAAGATAACTCAAGTATTTGTAAAATGTTGATTATAATTCTTGGTGTGGTGCTTACTATTGTTGGGACCAAGGTTAAGTTCGTTACTGAGCTTCGTGGGGGGTTTCGTTGTGACTACAGGGGGCATTTTGTTAATTTTTCTTGTGAGCAGGATAACTTTTGTATGTATGGATGGAAGTTAATGAAATTTGATAGGCATATTACTGTCGTGGTCTCCAAGATTGAGTTCAAAGATGAGAGTCGTGGAGGTCGTTATGTCCCCGTAATAGGACCTTTTGTGTTTAGAAATCCCCCACCTACATCTGCTTGGAGACAGCCGACAGCTGGATATAGCGGGGAACCCCATAATGGGATGGGATCAAATGACGTTACATTGAGGGATTGTACTATAACTTCAGCAGGGGGAGGATAGGTTGGACATATGTCAGGTTATTTTCTACGGCCACACCAAGTAATTGCTATGGATGACGTCCACTGGAGACCTTAAATCTAATTACCTTAAATTTAAGGCAAGCGCGCAATAAAAACACGAAGGGCCGAAAAACGAGATGCCTAGATTTAGAATATACTAACTGTAGAAGTACAAATGTTAGGACACAAAGAACACAAGAAACAAGTCTTCTATTTGTCATAAAGACAAATTAACAAAACAGCAGTAGTCACCCTGTTCTGATTCTTTCCTTTATTATAACATCTTCTCTTATTATATTTTGCGGCGCTGTCGTGACACTTTCAACACAGTAAGAATTTCTTGAACACGGGTGACGACGCATCTGTATAATCTGCGGCAAACCGTTTCAGGGTGTTTTGTACCATAAAAATAGTACAGAGATTCTTTTGTTCTTTAGACCAAATTGGTTATTAAAAAGATTGAAGAATACGCATGTTAATTTCTCTAGAACGATGTACCTCTGACGAAGACATGAGATCTCCAACCTCTAGTTCTTGATGTTTTATGTCTTTAGGTTTGATAGGTTTAGGTTTTTGTCTTGAGGTTTAATTATGGGTTCACCACACCACGAAGTGGTGTGGTGAAACCATATTGCTTTTTCTGATGTTTCTTCTTCTCCTCCTCCTTCTCCTCCTGCCATATCTTTAAATGGATTCAGCTTCTTCATTTTAGGGCCTAAGGTCCTGAAATTTGGTATGGAGGTACAGTGGACAAATACCCCTAGGCGTTTTTTAAATTATTGTGATACAGGCTTTTAGAATGGTTTTATTTGAGTTTTTTGGCTGTGTAATAGCTAATGTATTACTGTGTAAGTGTGCAGTGTTTACCACATTTGGACATGAGTCATCACAATGGCATGCAAGGCATCAACCAATAGGCATGCAGCTTTCCTCTATTCTCCTTGCTGATTGGCTGTTGGGATTTAACTGGCTTAACTTCATTTACACCTGCACAGAGCCATGCCATACTGACAGTATGTCTGTATTCAAGTGTTTTGGTAGGTATTTTAAGCTTTCCTGCTCCAGCATTGGAATGCGGGCTATGAACGCTTCTTTTTATCTTGAAAATCAACAGTTTGCATTATGCAATCCTAACCAATAATGTAGGGAATAGCTATCCAACTGTTGTAGTCTTAGTTGTATGTTACTTCATACTATAGTTATATCAATGTAAAGCATTGTTTTCCCTTGTGTTTCTCATTCTTTCCCTGCCATGTGGTAAAATGTGGTGAACCCATCGCTATATTTGCTCCAAAGCAAATATTGGCCTTTCTAGTTCTTGATGTTTTATGTCTTTAGGTTTGATAGGTTTAGGTTTATGTCTTTAGGTTTAATTCTTGAAGTTTTATTTTTCAGGATTGATAGAGTCTGAGGACCAGACAGGAGAAGACACAGAAGATGAGGTGTTGTCTGAGCTGAAGAAGCGGCAGGCAGAGCTGAAGGCCCTGGTGGCACACAACCGCTCGGCCAAACAGAGACTACACAAACTCGCTAAGGAAGAGATCCGCAAACAGGAGCTCAGGCAGAAGGCTAGAGTCATAGACAACGAGGTATGTGTGTGCAGATTCTGTATCTGTCTAGCCAGTGTAACTGCCCCTCGGTGTAACACATCAGCTTCTGTATCTGTATCTGTATATCCGGTATAACCACCCTTCGGCGTAACAAACCAGCTTCTGTATAGCCGGTATAACTGCCCTTCGGTGTAACAAACCAGCTTCTGTATAGCCGGTATAACCGCCGTAACAAACCAGCTTTGAGGACACACGGTATGGCAGCAGCTGGCTATATTACACCAAACGACTTGTTACTCCTAACCCTTGAACATCTAACTCTGAACTTTCTTTAAAGCTATCTAGTAATAAAGCCCCTACTGTACTTGGTGACGAGTTTTACTTTGTGATAGTTTTAAAAAAAGAGTTTTTGAACACCTCAATCCTTGGTTGAGAACTCGGGTACTTGAATGCATGACTATTTCTTGTTCTTTTTGGAGCTGGTACACATTTTGGGATACAATATGAAGAGTACATGCACGAATGAAGAGTTTGTATGATATAGGTCTCCTTAAAATTGTCCATAATCTAGATCTAGATATAACACTGTGCTACTTCTACTGTTCTACACAATGAAAGCCAGTGACGATGATGTCTGGAATTTAGTTTGAAATTTTATTGATATGAAGCAGTATTCATAGTCAGGCACAAGTAAGCTCAGTACACATTTCTAAGCACAAAGTGCACTTGTAAAATTGGGCATCTTAAAATTTAAATTGCCTAAACACAACATGAAATCAATGACAACGAAATTGTGACTATTCAAAGTACAATGTAAATGTAACCTCACTTGCAGCATTCAAGTAAATTAACTTTCTGCAGAAATTAAGAACTTGAAGAATGATTTGCAAGATTCTATGTTCTCTAACACCAGAAGTGTTTTTTTGGACAGGTCATTGAATAATGCCTATCACTTTTGACTATTTTTAGGAACTGTCATATTTCGTTGCCATTGGGTTCATGTGATCTTTAGGCAATACCAATTTAATTTGTTGGTTCTTGGATTTGCCTCTTCATTTTTCATCTGATTTTCAAAAAAAGAAAAAAAGATTCTGGTTCTAAATCAACTCAAATATGCTCATTTTTTGCCCCCAACAGTTGAGGAAAGTTCTTTTCTTCCTAGTTTTTCCACTTATCAATACAGTGGTTTGATCAAAATTCATTGTTTAAATATAAACCCAGCCTTTTGTGTTGACTTCATGGCTCCAATCATAGCATTTGGGGCTATAATAGGATGCCTATGCCCTGTCGCTTTATATTTTTTCTGAAAAAATCCAAGAACCAACAAATTAAATTGGTATAGCCTTAAGCCACCATACACACATGTAGTTACAATGTATAGCCTGAATCAACTGATGTACATTGTGTTTTAGTGAAACACTGACTTATGAATGTTGTACACCACAGGTGATGGACTGTTTTAGGAAGATCATGGCAGCACGGCAGAAGAAACGAACCCCCACCAAAAAGGAAAGGGACGCAGCCGTCAAGGCACTCAAGGAGAGGGAGGCTGTCATGAAACTTCTCGACTCATAATAACCTGTGTCAATATATCCTTATGTACTATATTAAATATTATGATATTATGGTAGCAGAGGAGAAATTATCCCATGGAACCATCAAATTGCATCTGATGGTATCGTTATCATGAGTACAATTTATAATTTGTGATTGGGAACTTCAAGATACATGTAAACATGAGAATCTTAGTACATGTTCGAATTAGATATTTGCTACATTTATACTAACCAAGTGTTGTATACACAATAAAATTGTCCCGTGATTTATTTTTAATGATTGCTAATTTTAAGATGTTAGTGTCAAGCTTGTGTGCATGAGATTTGAGCTATTGCTATGTATAATCAGTGACAACTAGTATGTGACATGTACATTTGTAGCTATAGTACATGTATGTATAGACTTTTGATATACTGGACTTAACATTATTCATTTGTTTCTGCATTCTGTAAATACACCAAAAAATAACAAAAGGAGTAGCTTCTCCACTGATCAGATCTCCCATTGTATATTTCCAGCTACACATACATGTGTTACATGTACATATAAGGACACCACGTTAAAACGTTTGCTAAAACATCTCACCATCAAGTAATATCACTATTTTCTTTCAAGATAGACATACTAGTATTAAAAGTTTCTTGAATAAAACTCTGATATACAACAGTACTGGTATACAGTGTATTCTCAAACTGTGAGTAAGTGCTTGATTTTGATTTAGATTACATGTAGCACAAGTATCCTGGCTTGCACCTAACATGTTTTGTGCTTACTTCTTTAAACAGCTACTAGTGTATCTGACAGTTACATTTTATACCGCTTTCCTACTTTGTCAGATATCTGTATCTGTGTTTTATCTAAGGCCACACAAACCTAATTTTATGGATGATATCCTCTGAAGACCCCCAAACTAGTGCGCGCAGGCGAATAAAAAAATTCCGGCCAAAAATAAAAATGCTACCAGCTACTAAACTTCAGAAATACAAAGCTGGTATTGTGAATATGCAGCAGTACATAGCGACATACAAGACGAGCCGGCACACGCTGGCATTTTGCGGAACTTTAGGGTTGCCGTTACAAATCGGATGACACCCAGGCTAATATCATTGGGTTTCTGATGACATCACAGAATTGCCCTGTTTGAGAACACAGCACCTCCGAACACTTTACTGTTCTTGTCTACTTCTTCTGGTATAGACGGTAAACAACGTTACCATCAAGTCTGAAAGAAATCTCCTTTACAGGGTAGCCCCCGGTTTCGAGGTTGTCTCTGATGTCATAGAACAGCTTCAAGTCTCCTTCCTGACGTAAGTCAACCTAAAGGATATCAAAAATAGTTGCATCATTCAGCAGGCATGATAATTTCTGGTACATGTAATTTATATTTTCTGGCTAGACAATACCATATTATTGAGTTGAACTGGTCATTTAAACAAAAAGAAACGAGAAATCTAAGATTGCATATACATTTTGTACTACATGCACATACATAGAAAACAATATGCTGAATGAATATGTATATACATGTATATCTTCAAACAATGATAGATGATAGTGTGATAAAAGTCTTGCTAGAAAGTAAGGCCACACCAATTTAATTTGTTGCTTCTCGGATTGCCCTGTCCATTTTTTTTCTGATATGCAAAAAAA